CCAAACTGATTGGGAGATCCTTCATCATGCAGCAAGATAACGACCCAAAACACACTGCCAAAACAACAAAGGAGTTCATCAGGGGCAAGAAGTGGAAGGTTTTAGACTGGCCAAGTCAGTCTCCAGACTTAAACCCAATAGAGCATGCATTTTACCTGCTGAAGAGGAGACTGAAGGGAGTAACCCCCCAAAACAAACAACAACTGAAAGAGGCTGCGGTGAAAGCCTGGAAAAGCATCACAAAAGAAGAATGCAAAAGTTTGGTGATGTCAGTGGGTCACAGGCTTGATGCAGTTATTGAAAGCAAAGGATTTGCAACTAAATATTAAGTCTCATTCACTTTAATCTATTTTAAGTTTATGTGTTCCAATACTTTTGCTCACCTAAAAATTTTGTGTTCCATTACAAATAATGCTATCTTCTAAGTTGTGTATCAGATCCAGATGTAAATACCTGGAAATAAAAGCTGAAATGTTGATCTCTTGTCTCATACTCATCTTTTGATGTCAAACCCAAATGTTTTCAGTCTACAACAAAAGTAAACGAATTGGACTCACTGTTCCAATACTTTTGGAGGGCACTGTAGATCTATAGATCTATCTATCTATCTATCGATATATATAGATATATATTCTTTGTGTGTGGAATATATGCTGACAATAACCGATAAACGATCACGCCCAGAGCCGCCAATGTTAACAACATTTTCTAGAGAGGGGGATAAGTGCTGTTCCATTCCTATTTGTAGCATACGGAGCCCTTTCAGACTCTCACACTCAATCACTTACAGCTGACGTCAGTTAAGTCAGTGAGAGTTCAGGGCTTGAGTCTTTAGGGGCCGGATTGGAATTGGGCCGAGGTCCGGAATCAGTCAGTAAACGTTGCAAGATGGCTACGGATGAACACCTGTTGTGTGAAGCGGCTTTGGCCACTATAATGAACAAGTTAGACTTGGCTTTTTCTCTAAAAGAGGAACAGAAGACGGCGCTCGAGTCTTTCCTTTGCAAGAAGGACGTTTTTGCTGTTTTGCCGACCGGATACGGCAAGAGTCTAATTTACCAGTTAGCTCTGCTGGTAGCTAAGCTCTGGATACGTCATCCCGTGTATTGTTCTGATTGGTCGTAGTGTTATCCAGTTGCGTGCAGTGATATCTCAAATGCATGCTTGGTACCACCCCTCGAGTTGGGCAATTTTCATTACTCTTAGCCAGACCCTAAATCTTTCTAGATTTGGGTCTGGATTTCCAGGCTAGAGTCTAAGTGGAATTTTGTGCGAAATTTAAAGAAATTCTCTCAAGGTGTTCTTCAGATATTTTGTTTATGAGAATGATACAAATGCAAGGTCACAGTGACCTTGATCCTTGACCACCAAAATTTTATCAGTTCATTGTTGAGCTCAAGTGGACGTTTGTGCCAAAGTCGAAGAAATCCCCACAAGGTGTTCTTGAGATCGCATTCACAAAAACATAACGACTCTGGCCACTGACCAAATTTCACTGCTTTATCAGTCAGATTAGAATAAACATCTAAGTGGTGATTGTAATACAATTAATGATCTACCACATTTTTCATTTCCTGCTGCATTAAAGTTGTTCCCGTGGATATTAGAAGCACTTGCTTTTATTGCTGTTGGTTTCTACAGGAAGGAAGATGCGGGCGTTGCTATGGATGCAAATTTGCTGTGGAGACATGAGCAGAGAGTATCTGAGTGTCTGCTGGGACAGGGGGATGCTTTCACTCCGAGCTGCTCTGCTAAATTAGCACCATCTCTCACTGCGACTTCTCGCTCGCTGTCCCTCTTCCTATTAGTCTTACACTGCTGTGTTGGTCTAAAGTAAACTGCAGTCAGTGCACTGTCATCTGTGTTTCTGTATGGAGGCTGATTCTTTTAATAGTTTGTGAATATGACTTGTGATTCTGAGATGTGACAATCAATCAGTGAGCTTAAGAGTTTTTTATTCAATGAACTGGACCGAAAACTGAGAGGAAAACTCACACACACACATACACACACACACACACACACACACACACACACACACACACTGTACACACTGCCTGCCAGATGTCAAGTTAAAGAAAAACACCATAACATGCCTTCAAAATAAAAGCATTTTTCTCTGCTAATTATCCTATTGGTGCTCCAGAAGTGGTATCCAGGTGACCATGTCATGTCCAAAATGTGTCCCATTTCATGTCCAGAATTTGGATTAGGCTTACAAATGCTGCCTCCTTCATTTGGTCTTAGTGAGATGCGTCTGTTTTTTTATTTTATGGTTAATATTTCTAATTATCTGATGTATATAGACTGATATTACACTGTTCAGCACAGTGCTGAAGGACTATCTCTGTGATCCTCTTAGTCCGAGCTAGCACAGCACAACCTGATCTCATCCCTGCTTGTCATGTTTTGCCGCTTGGGCTGAAGCTTCACAGCAGCAAACACCCAACACTGAGCTGTTAATCTCACACTGACACTGAAACGACTCGACTCTGTCTTTAAAACTGTCAAGAGCCATTGGATAACGTCAGCTGTGTGACGCTAACAGTTTGCCTTGTCGCTTCTCTTTCTCTCTCTCTCTCTCTCTCTCTCTGTGTGTGTGAACAATGTAGAGCTCCAGTCCCACAGCAGTAGTCTCATGACTGAGAGAGAGGGGGTGAGCATAGCTCTACAAGCAACTGAGATTTTAAATAGTCAAATTTGTGGTAATGTTGCAGTGATTTGACAAAATTGCAATTTTGAGACGTGTCCCTTGCACCCCCCTGAAATCTACGCTTAATGAGCCATACATGTATTAGATAGATTTGATTATCCAGACTACTTTCAGTATGATGACTGTGATACATGCTGAAACTGAAACTGATTTATCCCTCTCAGTGTTTGATGGTTATTGAATGTTTTTGTGGGGCCCCTCTATGGCCGCCAGGGGGCCCATGTTACGGTCTGCAATGCACGGGTTTTATTTTGGAGGTTGGGACCGGAAGTGCTGCTGTATGCTATAAAGAGTGGACGCTGGTCTCCCCGCAGAGAGCCAGAGCGAGAGACAGACAGCTGAAAACATCCGCTGGAGGAGCAGACAGACAGACTGCGGGAAGAGTGTTGCCGGGTGTAACGTCAGGGACTGCTCCAGAACACAGCGCTGAGAATGGGAGTCGAAATCGAGACCATAACACCGGGCGACGGTAAAGCCACTGCACGGAAACCAGACATGTTTGTGTTGGTTACTAAGTGCATATTTGCACTTATGTGATTGCATGTATCTAACAGAGCCGCAGAAACACCGCCTTCTTTGCGTAGTGAGCTCGTTATACTAAGCGCCTGTTTGGTTTCTCCACAGGAAGGACTTTCCCCAAAAAAGGACAGACGTGTGTGGTGCATTATGTCGGTGAGTTTGAAATAAGAAACTTATTCCTCTGCATGCATGGACACATTTCACTGCTCCACTTGGTTATGTGTACTCATGGAGGCCGTATGGTGGAGGAGTGACGGCTGTGGGCAACTGTCTACTACAGCCGTATGAAAAATAGCCAAGCATGGTAATCCTCTAAGTATCAAAGCAAAAACTGTAAATCCCCTTAAGAACATTATTATAGCGATAGCAGCGCACTTTATTGAAATGCTGTGGGGCGCGATAAACTATGTACAGCAGACATTTTTCACCCTCAAACCTTCCAGGCTGTGATTTCTCAGTAGGGCAAAGAGGCATGACTGTCAGTCACCGACTGGGCTGCATGAAAATTTAACCCCTTCACCACATTTTCACTCCGTGGAAGCACATTTGTGTTGAAGATAGTGGGATGTGATAGCAGGAGCAGTGGCTGTGTGTCCCGGGGACACAGCACTGGATTCATCACTGCGTAAAATAATGCGCGCTCGAGTTTGGGCCGAGTGGGTCCATTACAGTCTCATCAAGACCGCTGGATAATGTGGTCATTTGTCTTGTCTGGGGAATTATCAGAAAAAAGGGGGGTGGGGGGCACAGACGGATTCCGCCGCAGGGTTTACTCAGAGGCCCAGACAGACAGACAGACAGACCAGACAGCGGGGTTTTAAATCCCGTCTGATTTCCAGCGCTTTTCTGCCTTTGTTGGAGTTTCTGGGGGGTTGGTGGCGTTTAGTTGAGCGGATTATAACCGTCTGGGCGACTGCAATAACCGCAGAATCTCTGTATTATTCCTGTAATATTTTCTCTAGAGACGCAGTGGTTGAATGACACTATTAATTTTTGAAGTATTCCTCATTATACCTCCTATAGGACGACATGGCATCACTTATTAATTCCTATAGGGGCTCATAATATCAGTTGTATCAATTAGTTCTTTGTATAACCATAATACAGCTGTGGGACCAATAAATCTAGTGCTGCTAATAATTATTTTCATAACTGATTAATGCACCAATTGACCACTTTGTTTAACAAAAGTTTGTGAATAAATAGAAAGCCCATTACAGTTCCCCACAGCCCAGATCGTGGAGTTAAAAATAAGGGATGCACCATAACATCAGCACGTCATCAATATTGGCCAACATTGGCCTTAAAATGAATTAGCCAACATGCATATAACAATAGTACATCATTTGTATCAGCCAGTATTGATTTTAAAATGAACTATCAGAATCATCCAACATCCTTTTTTCTTATTTTGCACAATGAATGAATGAATATTACATACATTGACATACATTGCATGTCATGTCTCCATCTGCTGGCGGGCCATTATGATAAGAGTGTGCATGTATAATATGATGTTAATTCCTCTATAGAAGAGACTTGATGATCGCCAAAATTAGGTAATGAAAATGTGGATGTATCGATATCGATATCGGTATTGGTAATCAATTATCGGTCAAATGAGTTGTTATATATCGGTGTATCAGATATCAGCAAAAAATGAAGTGAATTTTATTTATTTTTTAATTGATAATATATTTAAAGGATGAATCTATTATAGAAATACTTCAGTTGAATATTTTAGCTCTGGTTATTTCCATGAATGTATAAAGAGAAGTGGATACAGAGTTGGACCTGGGCACCGTTCATCCCTACGAAAGTAGCTCATAGGTTCCAAAAAAAGCTCTACTTCCGCAGTATGAAATTAATGGAATCCTCCTCATCGTGGGGCCCACTGAGTCAAGCGCACTCTAAAGACTTTTGGCAGCAGAGTGGCTAACTTCCACTTTAGCGCTCTGCAAACTTGAAAGCAGATAGAAAGATTTAATCGTGCAGCTCTTCTAGACTTTAGAAATGTTATCAGACTGGATGGATCAAATATTGACAATGAAAGGAGTCATTTCTCGAGGGTTGTGGCGCTCAAACAAATGTATCCACAGATTTACAGACATCTCTTTCACAGTGTTTAAGTTCATGGGAAAAAGTTTTTTGGGCCCGATGGCATCAAGTGCCCGAATGTTGCAATTCCATGTTTTGCCACTATGTAAAATTGGCTTCAAAGTCCAGCACTGTCCCTGAGGGCTTGGTTATGTACAAGATTGTACTTTGAGTGACATGCTAATGGCAGTGTGCTAGCATGCTCACAGTAAAAATGCTAACAGTCTGATGTTCAGCAGGTATAATCTTTACCATGTTACCTTGTTAGAATAGCGTGTTTGCATGCTAACATTTGCTAATTAGCATTGACCACTGATAAGCTAGATGGCTTACTTTAGAGTCATTTCCTGTATCTATGTCACGTGGGAGACTACAGGCGATTTTCCGTCCACTGAAGTACACATTGGACCTATTTTCCATAAGCCACGCATGCTCCGAACATTCTGACACTAAAATGTCATTTTCAGACAGACAAATCAGGAGAGAATTAACTTTGTTCAAGACATGTCTCTGTCTCAGTAACCCACTCTTGCGAGATCTGGTAACAAGTGATGTGATCTTGTACTAGGTTGATATCAGATATTATGCTAGCAGATAAAAACAGAAGGAATATTAAAGAGCCAACATTAAATTTGCACTGTATATAATGTTTTATTGTCTTGAATCTGCTTTCATCCATTTGATGTTCACAACACTTAAAAACAAGGTCAGAGGATGTGGGGGAGAGATGACAGCGCTGTCTTGGCAGACCTTAACAGCTTGTAATGTGTCATCTTTTGTAATAGAACATCTTGGCATTAAACAAAAAGTAAAGCTGTGTCTGATGGGAGTGTAATTGGTCATAAACCAAAGAATTGGACAACAAAATAACTGGCCTGATGAAAGTCAGAGGAACATGAATGTCTGCTCAGAATTTCATAGCAGTCAATTTCAGTCTGAACCAAAGAGGTGGACAGACTGACAAACAGATATTGTACATTCACAGACACACTGCTAGCATGGCGGGGCATTTATTAATAGAGATTACAGTTTAAACACAGTACAAATATTGACGCATAGCATCAGCAGCAAAATGGGTTTTCAGATGGATTTTGCTTCCCACCGTGCTAGAATATATATTTGTCTCTGCACCTATTCTTAGTTTGGCAAAGCTGGTCTCAGTCCTCTCGCCTGGTAAGACAGACATAACTCTCTCTGTAACACAAGCTTCAAGATTATGTAACAAGACCCGATTTGGGGCTCTCTCAGTGAAGTATTTTTTACTTCTTTTTAGGCATGAGTCTACATCTTTTTTTTTTTCATATCACACAAACTACAGGATTTCCTCTCTGGGCGGGCTTCCTTCCTGTCAGCCTACAAAGCAGCCTTGAAATGCGACATGAAACAGGATATTCCATTACACGAGCCTTTTTAAACTTAGACGTCCATGTGGTGATCAAACCTTGGATTTGCTAGGTTTTTGTAAAGGCTCTGCCTGCAGGAAATGCCTGGTGTTTGAAAATGTCAACACCGTGCTGTTCGGTGGTGAAACGGGAAATGTGCTGTATTGGCTTTGATACTTTGACAGGACCTTTCAGTTCTCACAGATAATTCTATTAGGCTGATATCTTGATGTCCAGAAGAGGACACCCACTCCTCTGCCTGGATTACAGGCTGCGTCTTGCCAGCCACCCCCTGATGTGCCCAACAACATAAGCAATGTTGCAACTTCTCCCACACTGCGCACACCCGCTCACATCACACCACACCATCACACGCACATGCTGCCTTGCTGGTGCTAATAACAGTAATAGCGCTGGCGTAAATAGTCTTGGAGGGGTGCTATTCTGCGGATTGATGCTTGCGTTTTCCTGACTGTCACACTGAAACCCACCCTGCAGACAGCTGCAGCGGCTATTTCGGAGATCCTTGGAATCCCTTCATTTGCGTTCTCAATATACACAGCAGGGAAGATGGATGTCAGACAAGCTTGGAAGATGTATTTGTTTCTAATGTTTTTATGAAATGTTGATACAGTTGCTTCATGCTGAATGTTGCTGCACAGAGAGCCAGTAATTTTCCATCATCTGGTCTGCACATGTTCCTGCAGCAGGAATTCTCCTACTGATGAACTGTAATGTTGTGCATGTTCAGTGGTAATGGCTGGATTTTTCACCCACGTGATGAGGTTGCGCATTGGCAGCTGCCTCACTCTCTTTCTGACTGTGCCTTTTTCTCCATCTCCTTTTTCACAGGCTCCCTGACAGATGGACGAAAGTTTGACTCATCTCGTGACAGGGACAAGCCTTTCAGGTTTAAGATTGGCAAGCAGGAAGTGATCCGGGGCTGGGAAGAGGGTGTAGTGCAGGTGGGTTTAAGAATTTAACTCAAACTGCACACATAAAATATGCACATTAATTTAAGGGACAGTTCACCTCAAAAAAACAACAACATGGTTTTCCTCTTACTTGTAGTGCAATCTAGAATGTTTTGGTGTGAGATATCCGCCGTAAAAATGTCTTCTCTCGAATATAATGGAACTTGAGGGCACTCGGCTTGTGGTGCTGAAAGTGCCAAAAAAAGTACATTTGAAAAACTCAACAGCAGTGTCTCTTTACAAAAATCACAACCCCCTTTACTCAAGATAATCCACCTACCTTGTTGTGAGCAGTTTCACGTACGGATAATTTTCATAGCCAACCATATCACGGCGCAAAATGAGGCGTGCATCTACTCATGAATAAGAGGCTTGTGATTGTTACAGCGCAAGATGTAAACATTGAGGCGTCCTCCTTGGCTGAGTTGTAACTTAAGCTAGCTCAGTGGTGCTGGGTGAGCTAGTAGTAGATCAAGGAACTATAAAAGAGTTGTTTTTTTCTTTTTTAATTTCCTTGCAGTAGATATACTCTTCCTTCTGCTCTGTGATAGGGTTGGCGGGTGTGGTTTGGTAGAAAGAAAATACTTGCTACATTAAACTGTTTATAATAAGGTCTGTGGAGTAACTGGATCATTATTGCAGCTTCCAAATAAGTTCAAAAATAGCCACCCACAGATGCCATAACAGGAGATATGATAAACTCGCTGTCTTTGGTTAAATTTTACTCTCTGTTTGATGATCTGGGGTGCTTTGGTTGGTTTAAGAGTTGATTGATTTGCAGGATGTATGGAGAGTTGCAGGCTGATGCTATAAACTGATTGTCTTGACTGTTGTTTTAAAAATACAAAGACAAATATTCCCAAACAAACATTCCCCAAATAAACAGGCCTTTACAAAAACACAGTTCAATTCAATGGGGTATTAAATAACTTCGTCAAACAATTAAAACAAACATTAACAGGCAAACAGGCAGTGGTTAAAGACTTCAACCCTGTGGCGTCTTCCGCCCTCCACAGATACTTCAGCACACCTGCCTTTAATACAAGGTTCCTGAGATGCCAGGTCAGGTGGCACATTAAAGTGATTCAAAAAATAATAGTAAACCAGGACTTGCTAGAAGTGTAGTTCTGTAAAAAGAAAATAGTTCCTACATGAAACTGCTCACAATGAGGTCTGTGGATTCTCTTGAGTAACTGGGTCATGATGTCTGGACAGAGACATTGCTGTTGAGTTTCTTTTTGGCACCTTTGAGCACCAAAGGCTGAGTGCCATCTAGTTCTATTTCACTGGGGAGAGGACAAACATCTCTATGGCCGATATCTCCAATAGTTGGCAACTCACACCAAAACAATCTAGATCAATAAATAGCACTTCAGGTCAGAGGAAAAATATGCATTTCTGATTTTGGGGTGAACTGTCTCTTTAAATGTTAGCTTTGTGCTACAAATCCTGTAGGTTGGACTCATTCATAAATCTCCCCTCTCTGTAAAAAATACTGGAATGTGCTGTTGCCTCTCAACTTAAAGCCCACTTCTCCTCCAGCAACCTGTTTGAACCATTTCAGTCTGGCTTCCACTCACAGCACAGCATGGAAACTGCCCTCCTCAAAGTCACCAATGATCTCCTTCTCGCCTCAGACTCTGGTCACCTCTCAATTCTTATCCATCTTTACCTTATAGCAGCCTTTGACACAATCAACCACACAATTCTTATTTCCTATCTCGCATCTTCCCTCAACATCACCAGTACTGCCTGGCTAAGGTCGTACCTCACGAACCGACAGCTGTTCACCAATATTAACAGCTGTACTTCCTCCCTTGCTCCTCTGTCCCAAGGCGTCCCCCAGGGTTGGGTGCTTGGTCCGCTCCTATTCGTGCTTTACATGCTCCCCATTGGCAACATCATTCTCAGCCATGGTCTCAACTTGCATTGCTATGCTGATGACATCCAGATCTACATCTCCACTAAATCCATCACCACTGAAACTCTGTCCACTCTGGCCACCTGCCTCACCGACATCAAGTCCTGGATGCAAGCCAACCTCCTCAAACTGAACTGTGAAAAATCAGACATCATCATCATCAGTCCCAAATCCCTCACCAAAACCTCTCACAACTTCTGCCTCACCATTGACAATTCCACTCTGCATTCCTCCCCACACATCCGCAACCTGGGAGTCATTTTCAACAACAACCGCTCTTTCGATAAACATGTCAATCACATCACCAGTACTGCCTTCTTCCGCCTAAAAAACATAGCTTGTCTCCACCCATCAGTCTCCCCCAGTGCTGCTGAAACTCTCATCCATGCCTTTATCACATCCAGAATTGACTACTGTAACAGCATTTTTTATGGTACACCATCCAAACTCCTAAATAAACTCCAATACATCCAGAACTCTGCTACCCATCTGCTCACCCATTCCTGATCCTGCGATCACATCACCCCTGTCCTTTAGAACCTCTACTGGCTTCCTGTCCCACAACGCATCCAATTCAAAGTCCTTCTCCTCACCTATAAAGCTCTCCATAACCAGGCCCCCTCCCAACTCACTGACCTGCTCCACCGCCACACTCCTTCCTGCAGCCTCTGCTCCTCTGATGCCAACCTCCTGACTCCACCACTCAGGACCAAGCACCAAACCTGGGGCGACACCATAGCTGCCCCCTCCCTCTGGAACACTCTACCCAAACACATCTGAGACTGCACTTACCTGTCCCAGTTCAAATCACTACTCAAAACACATCTTTTCAATACAGCTTTTAATGTGTCAATGATGTTGTGTATATGTTATTGTAGTCTATTTTGTGATTCCTATTTAACCAATGTAAAACATCTTTGAGTACTTTGAAAAGCGCTTATCATTATTATTATTATTATTATTATTATTATCATTATTATTATTCATCCACTCAGAAAAGGTGCAACATTGCTTATGTTGTTATACTTGTCATGCTGTTGATATTAACATGCCACTGGAACACACAGATTTTAGGAAAAAGTCATGCAAATAAGCAGCTTCAACAGTCATGATTCAGAGGCAGAAATAATTCCAATTGCAAGAAAGAAAAAAAACATTTGGCTGCTGATAATGTCATTAGTTCATTTGCTGAAATACATTAATTTATTGACACGGTTCCATTATCGAGTTTTCACCCACCAAGGTTTCCATTAACACTGCAAACAGTGGGTCAATACAGCACGGACGCAGCTCTTTATCTCACACACTCAGCCCTGCAGCATTTAGATGAGGTAGCTACTGAATGGTGCGGCCTGTGTGCAGGTCCTGTGGATTCACAGCAGTGTAGCTTCATGTTCTCTTTTGGGGTTAGAACATTAGACTTTAATATCTCAATAAGGCATCTGTGTTAAAATGCTTTTGATGATTGCAACATCAAATATTGTGCAATAAGGAGTGGATTAGATTCAGAAGTAATGAAGCATCACTAATGAGAGAGATGTTTTCACCATCGCTCTCACCGTCTCCTGTAGTTTATTATCCAACTTAGACTGCAGAGACTGCATTATGATCCAATTAACTGTATGCTGCAGACTAGCTGTTTCACATGACCCCCGGTGTCTCTTTCTCTGTCCTCTGTTTGTATCGTCTGTCCCCTCGTACCTCCAGATGAGCGTTGGTCAAAGGGCCAAGCTGACCTGTTCACCTGACTTCGCTTATGGAAACAAAGGCCACCCAGGCATCATTCCTCCTAACGCCACCCTCATCTTCGACGTTGAGCTGCTGGGGTTGGAATGAAACAAATTCACGGCCTGATTTTTTTTTTGTTCTGTGTAAGTAATCTACAACAACTGACTATCAGCTGGTTACTGTTGGTTTTTCAGATTTTAGCTACAAACCACATTCTTCCTGTGGCACAGTGAAAGTCATCAACTCACATCAGCTAACATGCTAGTGCTAGCCAAAGTCACTCAGAAGTTTTCTTTTATTTATTTGTTTTTTTCTTTTTCTGTCTGTGCTGTGCTGTTTATTTACCCCCGGTGTAACTTGATGTCAACAAGCCCTGCAAAACACCACTGAATCTGGCCAGTTAAGCACACTTCCTTGAATCTACGTTGTGTTTTGTTGTGTTGCGTGGAAAACATTGATGTACAGGAGGCCTGCATCTATTTCTGCTTTAATGTTTATTGTCTGGGTAGGAACAGAGTATATGTACTGCTCAGTCAACAGATTCATTTGGGTAAAGTAGATAGCTAGCTTTTTTGCCATGCACATAAATTCACATCATTAGCACACACATTTAGCACTATTACATACATGACATTTACTTGTACACTTAGTAGTGGCATTTCACTTAGTCACAATGCTAACATGTTCAAACAGAGGACATACTGAGAGGAAGTGGCTACAAGTTGTGTTAAGTGTTTAGATAGGGTTGCAGAGTTCATCAAATGTTAACCGCAAAGCACTAATACTGGGTCCTTTTTTCTGTTTTGTTTTCTACTACAGATAGTGCCCCCTTAGTGTAGGCAAGATTATTGATCACCATAGCGATGCCACATTAAATTGCCATGACATCATCTCCAATGTGACACTTGCTTCATCCTTTTATTGGCGACAAAACAGAGGGACGTCTGCATTCGTTAAATGTACTGCATAGTGTGGTAGCGTACAGCGTGTTATGCTGGCTGCCATTTTTAAAAACCTCGGTCACATAAAAAATAAAATGAAATGCAGTCACTCTGGTACACTACAGTAGCTTGGTCCCTTTTTAAAATGGCAGGTGTGTGGAGGGTAGCCCAAGTGACGATTCTGTCTGACCAATCAGTGGTCTGCAGTGTTTCAACTCCACCTTGCATTATCAGCTCAGCTCACTTGGAACCTTGACAAAAGTGATAGCAAAAAAGGTACCAGGTGTTAGCCACAGCATTTGCTAATGGAAAACCAAAAAATGGAGAGTCAAGTTGAGTAGCGCCAAGTCATACCATGTAGTGATAATTTGTGGCCTTAGTTCAGGACACATAGTACCATCAACTCTTGTCCCACAACTGTCTTAAAGACATTCCTCTTTTGAAACACCATTTATACCAGTTTATACTGAGGAGCTGAAATAAAAATGGATGGTGCAATACTGCTAATAAAGTACAATGGCTTTCTTCATTGAAGACTTTGTCCGTTCCCCTAAAGGTCAGGACTGTCAAGACGGTTTACTATTGGTGACTTTGCAATGAATTAGCATCTCAAAGTTCACTAAAGTTAAAAGTGACATGAAAAATTAGCACTTTCAGGTAATAACTCCGTAATATATGTTATCATAATACTCAGCATATAGCAACATATGTAAACTCAATAATATTGTATTGTGACTTAAGTACTGTGATAAAATTGTATCATGGGGCCTCTAGTGATCCTGCCCCTAGTATGACCACGTCTTTATTGACAGTGTATTTCAAAAGAATATAACAGCTGTTAAATGTTACATTTACTATCTTTCAGGCAGCTAGTAGTGTCCCTGTTTTTCACTACACAAAGGAAATCAAGTTACAGAGACTTGTGCTGAGTGGTAATTCATCACAAAAAAATTCTATTGGCTATTTGTCAAGCAGGGGCCATTTTGTGTCCTTGTTAGTGCACTGAATGAAAGCACAAATAACTTCTGTGAGTAAGCTGTCTAAATACACTATTCATGAGTTGTGTTGTTGGAGAGTCAAACCCACAAGCCCAAAATTGATCAGATACAGACAAAGCAAATTTGATGGTGTGAATTTTAAGATGTTTCGAGCATTAGAAATGATGCCGTTTTGGCAGATATCTTTGAGATCTCAGATGTCAGGGCAGCCCTGAATGCATCAGTATAAGAGTTTTGAACAATCCCTGCTCACTTCTGCTATACCATGCAATTATCACATAATAATTATACAAAGTAGAGTTGTTCATTGTGTTGATTTCGAGCAATTTTTAAGTTTAACCAAGCAAATTTTGTGTGTGTAATGAAATAACTGGAAAACAGTAACTGCCTGGAAAGTGTTAAATATTCAACAGTAGCCTAATTTTAAGAATAACATATTTATAAATAGGCTAAAACCTCATTTATAATCCTTGGACAGTTACACTGACCACAGCTGTGCCAGGTTTTGTTGTTTGCAATCCAAGGAGTACCTGTACACAAGGGACAAGCGGATCAATATGGTAATATTGATACTACAGAGACCTGTTTTTGTTTTGAAGACTGATTCTAGCATCAATAGGATTGATAACAAAAAAAGGATTAGTTTCACTCGTCTATGTTGTACCCATTTATATTTAAAAAGTAGAACTGTTTGTGTAAGCAACACTTCGATGTCATGAACACATCTAATGTGTGCACTCCTTGCTTCTCCACCACTGTTTCGTGCACTCAATCAACATACACGTCGTGCACATGCAGCATACTGTGACACACAACCTGACAAGTTTAATCCGACACATAATTGCGATGGTCACTGAAGGAAAGAGAAAACAACAATGAAAAAGAGGACTTGAAGTTGCAACAGGAATAAAGTGAGAGAGAAAATGCCTCAGCATCCAGACCCCTGACACAGACACAGAGTTCACTGGCACAGGCTGGTTAGAAAGGCTCAGACGAGGAATATTTTAGTCATATCTTATCTTCAGTACTGGTTAATGTTGCCTTTTTAAACTGCAGTTGGTCACCATTAGCTGCTACTTTAGCAGACTGATTATTTATTGCATGAATCATGGCACACTGCTCTCCCCTACAAGTACATAAGCTGCTATTGATAATAAAAAGTATCTTATCTGTATCAATATCAGTGATTCTGGCCCTGTAGGCCTTGGTATCAGATTCAAACCAAATTGTTTGGTGTTGTCTACTCCTGCTGCACACTAGAATCATAGCTCCACTTAATGTTAATATGGTAGGGCTACCATCGGTGAATGCCATCTTACTTGCCAATAGGCCGATGGCAGTCAACACAGCAAATATTGGCCGATATGGCTGTGTGGCCGATAAATCGGTGCATCCCTAGTCATGGTGTTGGTGGAGCAGACACGTCATTTCCTACCTGCCCGTATTTGGATTACACCTGAAATGAAAAATGGATTTGTGTAACTGCACAAATATTACCTGAGTACTTCATTTGATACCCATTGTGTGAATGGACAGGCTGTTCTCATGCACTGTTCATATGTTCTCCTATGAAAAGTAATGCACCAAAATTCCCACATATTGCACGTTAACATGCCAGTAGCTCGATATTGGCTGTAGAGATGGCTGCCTTCTCCCCAATATAATAGAACTAGATGGCACTCAGCTTGTGGTGCTCAAAGAAAAAAAAACTGACTCAAGGTAATCCATAGACCTTGGTGTGAGTGGTTTCATAGAGAAACTATTTTCTTTCCATCAAATTACATGCAGTGATATAATTGGTATCACCATGCAGTGGATTTAAGGACAAAAGGCTCATGCTCGTGACGGTGCCAGTTGTGAGCACTAATGGTGTCCTGCTTGGTCAAGCTGTAACGTTAGCTAGCTCAGTGGTGCTAGGTGAGATCACAGTAGATGCACGCATACTTCTGTGCAGGGATACAGTTGGCAGGTGTAGTTGGTAGAATGAAAATAGTTCCTTCATGAAACTGCTCACAACAAGGTCTGTTGCAGTGTTAGGTAGGTTGACCAATGCAGAAAACTCCCAGAAAAGTTACATTACTGCTTTAAATGGAGATTTAGGAGCTGTGTGATAAAACTCTTGGGACGTGAGTGCTGAAGCACACGCGATGTATGCTGTTATCTTTGCTCAACTCTGAATTTTCCCTTTTTATGTCTTCACAGGTGACTTCCTACCTGGGTGACCTGGAGAGAAGCTAGGAGAGTCTGCACTTGATTCTATATGAGGCTTCAGTCTATAGTTCCACTACTTATTTCATCAAACTTTGACAGTTTGTGTTATTTTGTCTCTGTGACTGAGTGAATTCTATTTTTTTCCATCATATTCTTCCTCCTGAAAATCATGGGCCATAACCTTACAAACCTCCATGTTCTTGATCTTGAATTCTTTTGAATTGCGCTTTACTTTATCTTTGTGTTTTTTGAAGTGTTGGTTGTGCATGGTTACGCTGAGAAGTACAAAATACCAATGAACTACTAGCAGCGACATTAATCTCTTATGAGCCAATGCGTACTAGTATTATAATGTTCGAGAGCTGGTGCTTGTTATATTATGGAAACAAAAAAGAGTATACAAAAGAAAATGAAAAGCACACATTTGTATCCCTTTCTAGCTGAAAATCAGAAGAAATGAGAGGAGTTTCTGTTAGAGAGATAAGGCTTAGGGTTGAGTTTAGCGGCTACCCGTAGTAAAATGTCAAGACATGTGAGGCCTTAATGGTGCAAAAAGGAACTGAGTTTGCTACATAAAATGCCCATTTCTATAAAGTACCACTGTGTTTTTCTTTTTTCTTTAAATCATAAATGGAGGTGGGGACTAGAGAGGGGTAACTGGTGCAAAGAAGAGCCAGTCACAGTTGTAGATAGTTCTAATGTGTGCCTAAATATTCTCACCAGACACATGGTTACTACCTTGCCCTGTCTGCATGTTCTAGGCCCCGATGGAAACCCAAGTATGTATATGTTGAAAGCTTTGCATCCGATTTTCGTTATTACTGCCTTCTCATCTCGCCAAGTCTTTAAACCCCATTTAAAGCCATACACAGATCGAACAGTGCAAAGACAGGATTTGCGTTGACGCACATCAATTGGATTGTTATTTTTTTCTTAGAAAAAAAAGGGAAATGCTTGAAATTTACAAAGGGGGGTTTGAGTGATCAATCAAATTGTGACCTCCCCCAACCTTATTTTGTGTAACAACTTCAATCATGTATTTTTCAGATGCCAACTTTCTATCTCTGAGAATCAACAAAGCTAATGTATAACCTATGATAGATAATGTTTTTCTTTTTTTCCTTTTTTTTTTTTTTTGCCAGTGTCAGTAAAGTACCACACTGCCTGGCAGAAGTCGGTGTTATGGTAGGAAAAGAAGCTGACACACTGGCATCCTTGTGGTTTTGTATCTCAAATAAAGTTTTAAATGGAGTTTAATGAAGGAGTATGCTGGCCTGGCTGTCAGATATTGACCGTGGCTGTCGATGTTACATATTGGCCAAGCTGCAACTGGGGCGGCAGCAGTCCACCTCTGTACTGTGTAGTTATTTGCTGATACATTACTGTATGCAGACTAAACCAATGATGACATATTTAAAATAAAAGAAGTGCTCTCCACTTGTCTTTTTTTTATGCATATAAATGCAAATAATAACCCGGGTATCACTGCACCTGTAATTAAAGGAACTGTATGTGACATTCAGAGCAAAACTATAGTAAAAAAAAAACCAAACAAACACTAATTGTTATGTGAAGATATAGTGGAGTAATGACATCCTGAGCAGAGAATGAAGTCACGCTCTCTCTCTCTCTTTTTCTGTTCCCTGTGAGTGTTTTCAACTTGCTAGCTAGTCATCGTGCACTACACTGTACTCGTCAAGCGGTTATCCCTAAGAATGCTGTCCTGAGCCATGGTGTCATCTCAGAAGTGTACCGCCCATCCCCTGGTCAACACAGTTAGCTCTGTCAGTACTGTTGCTGTTGTTAGCACTGTTTGTGCTTTTAGCACCATCATCTGCTAGTCGCTAGCTCAGCCACCTCCATGTTGAGAACTGTGTGCAGACAACTTGAATTAGACTCTAAATCCTAAAAATGCTCTGAATGGTGTATACAGTTCCTTTAAAGGACCAGTGTGTAGGATTTAGGGGCATTCAGGTTGAAGAACTGAAACTTCTATGTGCCAAGCATGTAGGAGAACTAAGATGGCCGGTGCAAAAATGTCTAGAGCCAGTGTTTGGTTTATCTGCTCTAGGCAACATGTAGAACAACCTGGCAGACTCTGTGGGAGAGGACCTGCTCCATATGTGGATATAAACAGCTCATTTTAGGGTAATTATGGACTAATGACAATATGGTTATGAATTATACAATATACAATTTCTGCTAATAGATGGACCTAAATCCTACACACTGGACCTTTAACACTGATGGTCATTCTAAAAAAATAATACTTTTACTTTTGATTGATAGATAGATAGGTAGATAGATAGATAGTGTAAAACCTTTTCTTGCAGTGGAATAAGTTTACAGTGTGGCAAAACTACTTGTAGTTAAGTAAAGAATCATAGGACTTCTTCCTTCACTGCTAATTAAAAGCATGTGGTCTGACAACATCTGCTGCTGTGCAGGCTCAAAGTACCCCAGAAGGAAGCCACGCTCCTTGCATTTGCACCACAACTATGACTGTATGCCCTAGGCAATGATTCTTTTCAAAGTTGAATACACATTTCTGATTGATTAACAAAACACTAAACAATTATACTTTTTTCCTTTTAAACATAAATGGGAGCCTGTTGCTTAAAGGTGCGCCAATTTTGAATATACAGGCCAGTTTACTTGTCATGAGGAGTCCTACTCAGACAGTGGGGAAAAGTTGTGTAATGCCTTCTGTTGCTCTGGGAAAGCTGAGTCAAGAAAATAACAGATGATGTCATCAGCCATTGGTTGCATTATGGGAAATGCAGTACCCAGTATTCGTTGGAGCTTGAGCTTTACTACAGGTGAAACTCAGGGTATCTTGTGCTCTGTGGCATCAATTTTGATCATTCTTTTTTTTTTTTTTTTTTCTTAACCTGTCTCTTGTTACTCCCCCAACTTTATGGAGGTGCAATACTGTATCACTGGAATCCTTCTCCAAAAAGAAAACTCAACAATTATTTTTTTTAAAGTAACACTCAATCCCAAGATTCAGTTCAAAGGAACAATTGAATCAAAGGGTTAAAAAGTCCAAACAAGCCACGGTGGAAAGTTTGGACTTCACTGAAAATGATTTTCATTATGGAAAATAAAAGATTTGCATTCTGCACTATAAAGCTCTGCTGTCACCAGTTATATATTTGGTAGCTCAATGTAAATGCCTCTACACCTTAGAATGGGGTGCGATAAATAACTTGTATCCTGACCTTGGTTTTTCAACTTTGACAAACTTTATGATTCCATGGTAGGGTCACATTTAATTTATGCTGCAGGAGAATGGGATTTTAAGTGTGTCTCTGATAATAATTTTGTCCAAACAACACAATCGTCCCTGGTTGAGGGATGGTGCTGCCACTTCAAGGATAGAATTTCACACCATTATGCTGCCTCGCTGTTCTGTATAAAAGATACTGTTGTGGAATGGGAGGACAGGGTGGTGTCGCCTTGAAGCTGGCATTGCAGGAAGTCGGTGAAGATTCTCAGTCATCCAGGTCGTGGTAATCCTAAATGCTATATCGTAGGCAACTGGACTTGCTTGCGTTTCTTGAAGACATTTTGCCTCTCATCCAAGAAGCTTTTTCAGTTCTAAGTGCCTGGTACGAAGTTGCAGGCTATAAACCCTGTGTGGGTAGCAAGTAACACCACCAAAATAATGTCTGTATAAACAGGACAGGATCATGGGTGACATGTGTGTGACATTTTGAGAATCTGTTTTATGTGCGATCCACAGCAGGGGATTTAAAAAAATAGCTCATTGCAGTTAGCAGCTAACTCAAAGAAAAAGAACAGTGGCTGAAAATGTCCGCAAATTGGGTAAGCAATGAGGTCCAGGAGCTCCTTACCCTCCAAGCAGAACATAAGGTCAGCTGTCACATAACAGGGATGATAAATAATTGTAATTGCCATGTCATGCCATTGTTATTGTTTATAATGTGCTCACAATAGAGGCCACCGCTGTTGTGTTACATGTCATGCCTGTCACGCCTCTTTTGATTCCGTGATGCTGGCATGCTATCTAAGGGGCTGTACACATGCCATATTTTTTATGGCCTCAAATTAATTTTTTTCAACATAGATGCGTGGCAGGCGTGCTCAAACGTCAGTGCGATGCTATTGCAGCATGCAGGTGTTTTGTGGAGGTGCTACAGCTGCACCCTGAGATAAACAGAGTTCGACTTTTGGAATACAGCAGCGAGCACCATGTCATGTGACAAGGAACAACCAATCACAGCTGGCAGATATCTTTTCCTTCTTCTGTAAATATCAGTCTGTGATAAATAATAATAAGTCGATCCTTTTAGTGCAGGGCTACCCACAGCTTTACATCCGTCACAGGGACAACATTTTTGGCCTAATACACACTTACAAAACTGCGCATGGAAGAATATCAGCCCTGCCCTCAGGATTTCTGGTAAGTAGGCTGTGATACAGTGCTGGTTATGGTCACTGAGCAACCTCAGACGCAACCCTCCTCCGCACCCTTGCAAGTTGGCACAAGTAGGCACAAGAGTAGTGCCCAGCAACTGACCTTGCGTTTTTCAGGTGGTTAAAGTTGCGGCATGTGTACTTCCCCTAAAATCACACACTGGTGCAGCATGATTCTGCCGTTGTTTGGTTCTGTGTAAAAATGCAAAGACGACACCAAGAAGGGACTTCTTAGTGGCTCTATAGCACAATCTCTGTGTAAAAACAGCTTGTCATACTTAAAGGAAAAATGACACCAGAGGGTGTCAGGGGGCCTTACTGGTCTTCTTTGCCTGGAGCCCACCATGAGACCAGGATCGCCCCTGGAGCAGAGGACAGTCTCTACCCTACTCTTCCTACCTGATCCCTGACAGAGTGCAACAACAGCTCACACAGGGTAGCAAAACAAAGCACAAAGAAAACAATAATATGCACACAAGGCTACGTGGGTTATGGCGATTATCACAAGGTCTGGTTCATAGGTATAAAACAAAATCATGGTAACAGTGAGTCAAAGTTCATGTGACCGATACGAGGCGTGGCTAAACGTCAACACTGATTGACGCGGTTTCCACAACCAGGAAGCCAGCAGTGACATCACTCTTCAGAATTCCCCTTCAGCACGACGAAGAGCCACAGCGACGAAGACAGAAAAACAGAGGAATAACGGAGTTTGCTGCTGTCTGACATTGCTGTTTAAGGCGACTTTACAACCAACACGTTAAAGGTGAGTTTGTCTCTACCACACCGCTGTACCACACCATCCCTCGCGGTAACTGTTCCTCCCAGGTTTCGTTTACCTAACAAGCTAACGTTAACGACACACGGCTAGCTCTTTGCTTCCCTGCTGTTTATGTCGGAACAAAGACGGTCTGCCTAGCGGACTCAGCTAAAAGGCACTACTTTATCTAATTCATATATCCTTTAATGTGTTCTAATTTCAATTAGCGTTAGCTAGCTTGTTATTAGACCTGTCTGCTTGCTTAAACCAGCTAACAGCGGTTGGTTAATTTTTAATGACTTATCGTTGAGGCACCATAATGTCAATTGATATGCAGCATTTCATGTCGTAGCTAACTTAGCTAGTCATACGATAAAGACACAACAATAGTTCCTATCTAAAAATTTGACACCGACGTTTGCTTCAGTGTTACAATATAAGGGAAACGCCTAATCTGTTTAAATAAAGCTAACGCCAGTTAAGCCTTACGTATTGTTTCTGAGCCTGTGTTGTTATAGCGTTAATACGGTAGCTCATGCTCGTGCCTGTTTATGAAGGATAACTGTATGTTTAATGGCTATAACTCAATATAATACAGTGTGGCCCAGTTAACGGGCACAGTAGAAAGGGTGTGGGTCAGTTCAAAGCACTAACAGACCTCTGCTCCGTTTTACCGTTGTCAGTCCTCCTCCTCCTCCCTCCCACTCCCTCTGTCTCTTTCCCAGCCATGTCAATAGACCGGAACAAGCTGCCAAGAAGACCACATTCTTGTATCTAACCAATTCGTTCAGGCTAACTGAAGTTAGCCCTCTCTTTCCTTTCCAGTTTCCACCAAAGCTTTTGCTTTGCTAGCTCCATACTCTGAGGCTGAGTAGCAATGAGCATGGGAGGCCTGTTCCTGAACTGCTGTCAGTGCATTTACAAGATACTCGCCAAGCTTTTTAGCCCTGTTTTTGCAGGAAATTTCCTTTTACATCACAACGAACTTCACTTGTCCACTTCATTTGAAGCTGTAGCAGCAGAAGTGACTCAAGGATTAGGTTATGTCATTAGAAAAGCTGCCCTAACTCTCATTTTTTCCAGGCTTATTCACTTATACCTCCGGCCAGCTAGTCAGAATGAGGGAGGAATATAAAGCGAGCAAACAAACACAGCTGTAAAGTAAACACTAGAAGGTATTAAAATGTCCCTCTGTGTTCACTGACACAATGATGCACTTGTCTGTGAGGACTGAGAATAACAGAGTAGAGTAGTGGCTGGAGTAGCTGGGAGAGTGGCAGTAATGTTATTGTGGTCCGAATGATTTGCTTATTTTGGGGACTCGATGCATTTTTGTTCACTGGTGTCAAATGAATGTCTGGCCACACATCTGACCACTGTGTGCACATGGCATATCAACATGGACTCTTTAAAACATTTGAATAGACTTTTTGTGTGATGGGTTATATTGGACAGTATGGTGTATTATCTTTATGTGGAAATTAGATGTGATGTGGTTGAGCAATGTGAAAGGAAGTGAGTCAAATTTACTTGGTGTGAGTTTTCATATTACTGTTGGTATTTGGCTTTTTTGAGTCTGTAGGTTGGTCATAATTGTTGTTTTATCATTTTGTACATTACTCTGTCATCCTCCTCACTTCCCTCCTGCTTCGTATTGAGAAAGAGATGTGCTCACATGTCTTGTGATTGTGACACACAGTTGTCACAGTGTACTGAAGAAAATTACTAAGAAATCAGTGATGCTTCTGTCCTTAGCATTTCTTTTCATATAAAAGTACAAGGATTGGACACCCACAGTGCAATCAGTTTGCTTTTTAAGATCTCTTTTTTGTCATTTTGTCTTTATATTACTAACTCACCGATCCACTACATTGGATTGGTATGTGTTCCAATGCTGACCTTATGAAGTGAAGTTGTTGACTGCAGTTTAGTTGTAATTGCCATTTTATAATTCAGTCTTTCCATTGTCTATTAATTCAGTTGTGGCAGGTCGGCAACTTAGTTTGACCTCATGTTACCTTACATTAAGTGAGGTATACAGATTTAAAGTTCAAGTAACTTTATTTAGCATCTGCACAAGTATAGAGAACAAGCATGTTGGGAATCTTGCATGTATGAGTCATTTATAAAAGATCAGACCAACCAAAAACGGGGTGGGATTATCAAGAAAGGCAGACAGGAATATTGTTGTTAAAAAGAAACAGAAACACAGAGGACATCTGGGTCATTATTTCGTAAAATGAAGTTTAAAGACGGGCAAAGGATAGCTCTGGTATTAGATCAGTACTAGAATATACAATGAGGTAAGGCTGGCTGGAGAAAATGAAGAAAATCAAATATCACTATTATTAACCAAACACCTTGATAACGATATTGCGGTGACATTGCAGGGTTGACGATTGGTACTTTTACAGAATATTTACACAATGAGTTTTTTGATACGTAATTATCAGTAATGTGAACACAATGACTAAGTGGGTAAAGGCAAATAATAGACCTAAAGCAGGCTGGTAAGTTCAGAAAATTACATCACTTTACTGAAAATGCAGTGTTTAAAGCCAGGAAATGTCAACACTTACGATATACAAAATCTAAGATGAAAACTGGTCTCACATCAATATATTGCCAAACGCTACCCTGAGCTGAGGTATTGGAATCTGTTTCAGGAGTAGAGCTGCAACCATTAGCCGATAATTGCTTAGTTATTAAGTAATTTTTCAAGAAATAATGGCAGAAGTTAAGGGTGGCAACTGCTCAAATGTGAATATTGCCTGGTTTTCTTAGTCTCCTGTGATAATAATCTGAATATCTTGGTTTTGAAATTTTGGCCAGACAACACAAGGCACTAAAGAAGTAAAAAAAATAACCAGTAGATTATTTGATAATAGAAATGGTGAAAAACCCTAATTGGGAGAGAGAGATAGTTGACGGTAGAGACTGACAAGAAAAACACGTGGAGAGAGTGTGATGCATTCAGCAAAGGTCCCCAGTATGATTTAAACTGGGGATGTTGCTGTTTACTTTGCGTGCACTTTAGACCAGCAGCATTTTCATGTTAACACTAGGTGTAATCAGTCGGCTTGAGAAGCAGCCACTGCCACTAGTACTATAGACACCTGGGCACAGGGAGAAGTGTGAGCATAAGTGTATATCAAGGTGAATGAACGTATTGGATTTACACAAACAGACTCAAACACACTTGTGTTTATTACCTGTCATCATGCTACTGTGTGTCTCAACCTGCTCTGCTTGGCTGCTTGCATAGTCTCAGTCAGCTGACTGGCTGTTATCTTTCATTTCCTCTTTCCTCTTCTGGCTGCCAGTACAGTGGTAATGAGTTTTTCTCAGCACTTTTGAGTCTAGCTCGGTTAGAGTGGATCACCATTATTATCATAATGGTTTACATTAACAAAGAACCCTGAGAGCTATTAATTGTTGTCTTTGCTTATTTCCCTTCACCCATGTGAAGGGAAATATGCTGAATAAAATAGAAATATGCTGAATAAAATAGAAATATGTTAAATAGGCTATTCGTTCAGTCTCCCTTGTGCTTTTTCTGCCTACATATACCCTCTGTCACCCTCTCACTCAGTACTTTCGTCCATGTGTTCATCATTTAAAGCAATAAGGCAAATTCAAAGTTTAAACACATGTACACCTGGCGTTCACCTAGCGTGAGAACAAGATTAGATAAGATGTGTTACCAAGGTGAAATAATCAACTATGATGTCACAGAGTCATGACATACATCAGAATGAGTGCACCTATTATTATCATTGTGCTTTCCACATACTGTCAGTGTCTATGTGTGCACCCGTCCATTATCTGACAGGTTGAGTCAGTTTTGCTGTTGTTCTATTTCTGGAGTTTTACTGCCAATGCAAAAATTGTACTAGGTATTTAGATTATGTGGGCGCTGTTTCTCCTTATCTAAGAATCATTTGTCATTCCTCCAAATGCAATAAATGAATAGCTATTAACTTAACTATGTGCTTAGTGTTGGGTAATATTACAACATATACTGTGAAATGATATAAAGCTGTCGGCTCTTTAGCAAGAATTTCTGGAAGTTTAAGAAAATGTATTGTATCGTGACATATGTTGATAGTAGATTATGTCCATATTGCAAACCCCTAGCTAAACTGAAATTAATATTATCCTGTGTATTAATAAATTCAACTAGAGCTGCAACAACCAAGTATTTTCATTATTGATTAATCTGGCAATATTCTTAGTTAATGGATTACAAAATAGTGCATAGTTTTATCATTTATAATTTGTTGTTTTCTATTTTTTGTCCAACAGTCTAAGAGCCAAACAGTGTTTGGATATTTATTATTATCTGTTAGCTTACTGATAGACTTTTATGTAGCCTGATTTTGAAAATCTAGCTTGAGTGAAATGACTACCTACCAAATGCCTGTCAAGCTTTCTCAGGTGTTGTAGCTGTTGTTTGGGCTGCCAGATCCTGAGCAGAACATCTAGCTCTCTTCTGATTTTTTTTTTTTAAATTTTGTTTATTTAATCTGTCAGTCATCATCATGTCATGTCTTTGCCATTTCATGCCAGGTGGGAAAGCATGTTTTATCAGTCCAGAAAACAAACACAACAAACAGGATGTTGCTAAAAGTTGCATACAGCTACAGATTTGGTATTGATTCTCAGTGGAGCATCCCTTTCACATTACAGAGAGTAATTTGATTGAATGTTAATAGAATATAGCTTAATGGAGTGTAAAGGTAATGGATGCCATTTAAGTAATAACAGGTTATCCCAGTCAGTAGTCTGGCAGGCTCCATCCTACCTTTCCCAAGGTCCTTCACTCACAGCTGTTTGTGTTTTCTCTTTAGGATGTCTCTGTATCCATCCCTCGAGGACCTCAAGGTCGACAAGGTTATGAAGGTAAGCACGTTAGGGTGAATTGAATTAGACAGAGACATCTATCTGGAGATAATTAGCTGTGTTGTCTGTAGTAGTGTAAGCAAATTATTTTTGCTATATTTAGCACAATTAGGAAAAGAGCTTCTGCTTCATCTTCACATATGCAGAAAGCAAATATGATTCCAGCCTCTAAAGATGAGAAATGTAGCAAACTTAGCAAAATCACAAGAGGGTGAAAAATAAACAGGGATTACTCAAAATTGTAACATTTTTTGGAGTGACTAGTATTAAAGGGGCATAGCACAGTTTTTACACAAAGTAAGATCTAATCAAATATTCTATCTATGGAAAAACTAAGTGCCAGTGTTTTTTGGGGCTTAACACATATAAAGGACTAAAAGTCAGGCTGTCTTGGCCTCTGCTGCTTGATTTGACCATTCTGTCTTTAATTTGTCTCCAATGAGCAGTATTGCTAGATGGGAAATATTAAACTGTGGTGCCAGAGCCTTAAAGTTATCATATTTTGAGTAAAATTATCATATGTGATTTATAACCAAAAGAACAAATTGGTGTAAATGTTTAACTTTACAAAACATGTCTTTAAACGACTTCTTGTCGCGCCTGCCACATCGTTCTTTTAAAGCAAGCTGACACAGCTATGATGTGTGGAAGGGGGTGTGAGTCCATAAGTCCATCAGTCTGACAATTACTGTAATAGCCTACTATTACAGTAATTAAATTACAAGACACCACAACAGCCTGTTCATATTCTGCATGAAAACTGGTAAGGCTGTAAGCTAAGCTAATTAAATAAATAACTGGTGCATTCAAAACAACCCAACTTGAGCATAGCATACCTTAGTGAGAAAGTCATGTTCATCATAGCCTAGGTCAAGCATGATTAGCTGGAAAGAGTTCTCACAGATGCAGAATTTATATTTTGTTGTCTGATCATGTTGAGAAATAGAGAAGTGCAGGAATGAGTCCTAAAACCCAGAGATGAGTTAGCATTTTAGCAGTTTTGGTTCCCATATCTTGAAGTCTTTGGGTTTAAGGTTAGATGCCTGAAATAACAGGTGTGCTTGCCTCAAACTGGACACTTTCACTGTTTGTTCTATGACATAAAATAAGTCTGTAAATACCCCACTGTTATTTTTTTTATGCTTTTAGGTTTCTTTGAAAAGGCGGTTGCTAACAAGTGGCTAAATGAGACTACAAAGCATCATTAGGCGAACACGACTTAACAGCCTTGTTGTGATGATGATGTGAAGTCATGTGACCGAGGTTTAGTTCATCTATAGCCTAACGTTAGCTTTTCACTTCTGGGGATTGCATTTACTCATCAAAACTCATTAAAGTGGTTTTAAAAGATTACCTTGCTCAATAAAAGGTGTAAGTATCATAAACTTTTGTCACAGATCTTATTTTCTGCAATAATCCAAAATCCCACAAGCTTTTTGATGAGTAACCAGAGTGACGCTTACTTCTGAGTGGGCCTTATAAAAATGTCATCTCTGCAGCACTCTATGAATTAAAATGTCACAAAGTGGTCAAATTATTGTACATTTTAGTAACGCTACTTGTGAGTCCCCCAACTTTGACGAAGTCTGAACTGAAAGTAGAAAGTTACTGAGTACCAAATCACACCTTTTAAAATTTGCATTTGCATGTCATTGAAGATATCCTCTGTTGCCCTGGTACATGGTTGTGGAGAAAGAAGTACTCTGCAATCACTTAATCTGATTACCAATAGTTGTTTTGCTTAAGCCCAAAGTACACTGTTTAATTTTGAAATGCACTGAGGTTCATCTCACACTTGCTTAAAGCCATTCATTCAGGGTTTGAGACTTAATACTTTGTTGTTGGCTTTTTAAAGGACATGCATTTCTAATGAAGATTAATGCTTCCTTTACAACCTTACTTCAATCATTTCTCCTCTCATTTTCTCCTCCTTTTTTCTCATTTGTGTTTCATTGCCTTTCATCCAATATTTACCATTTTAAGTCCAAGTACACTTCCAGTTTACTGGTGTGTCTGATTACTTCCCAGGCTCAGGCCCAGTTTGCGCAGACTGCCACCCCAATGCCAGCTATCACAGAGGGAACCTACCAGCCTCAGCCTGTCACTGCTGGGATGCCATCATCAAGTGAGTCTCACACATACTGCTGAAAGTTTTTAGAGAGTAATTAAATCTACACTCAGGAAAAACAGTAAAAACCCTCTTTCTTGAAGTTGTAACAGAAACACCTTCACCTATATCTTCGGTCTCTTCCTTTGTTTCTTGCGCTGGATATATGTTGATATCTCTGTGTGGGGGGTCTGTGGTTCTGAGCCTGTGCTATTCTCTTGAGAAGAACAGCTCTGCAGTGTTAGGGATGGATAAAGATGAGTGGAGTGAGAGGACTGGGATGGGAGGAGGAGTTAGGGGTCTCTGGACAATAACGGGAGTATATGGGCCTCCCACACTGGCTATGATTTTTCTCTCTTTCCCTCTGTGCTTGCAACTATTTCTTTCTCTCTTATTGTATTCTACTTGGAGGAAATGTTTTTTCTGAGTTTGTGTAAAAGTGAAAATGAACTTTGCAGAACGCCAGGCTGAGATGGAAGAAAAGAGAGAGAAAGGAGACATCCACAAAAGATTAAAAGTGGGTAAAAAATGGGCAAGGGGCCCTTTTAGAGATTACAGAACACAACTCCTCTGCTTATTTTCACTCACTTCTCCCCCTTTACCCATTCTCCCACTCATTCAGTTTCTCTTTCCTCTGTTCGGATGCAAAGTCCTGTGGGCTTTGGGTCTTTTGTTTTTAGCTCAGCAGAGCTAGCTATGAGTCACCATGGAGACTGGCTCTGGCAGCTGTGCTGGGACAGGGCATGATGGGAAAAAGAGAGAGGAGGAGGAGTTGGTTTAAAAAGGAGTAAGGAGGGGAGGGAGGAGAGGGAGAGCCAGTGGTGTAAGAGTGAGTTAGAGGAGGAGTTTGTTGTCCTGGTATGGAGGAGAGAAACGGAGAGGAAGGTGAAAGGGGACTGAGTGACATCAACACTGGACCACAGCCGAGTCAGATATAATAAATCTGTAAATTGCATCTGCTGCCCTTAAATCACCTCGACTAGGCCCATCACGATACACACTCCACTTATCTTACAATATATATGGACACGCCCTTGATCAAATTTGTTCAAATCAAATCAAGTTTGTTAAAATAGGAATGTCACCAGCATTGTCCAAAGAAAAACAAAATGGGGAAGCACAATACTGGATTTTTTGTTGATGTCCAGTATGCAGATATTTAACAACTCATCTGACTGATAGCTTACAGTGATATTGATATATCCACGTTTTTCCCCCCACCTAATTTTAGTGATCATCATGTCTCTTCTGTAGTGGAATTAACATCATATTATGCATGCATACTCTTGTCATAATGACCCACCAGCAGATGGAGACATGAAACACTGCTTTTCAATGTATGTAATACTCATTCATTGTACAAAGAAAGAAAAAGCACGTTGGCCAATTCTGATAGTTCATTGTAAAGCCGATATTGGCCGATAACGATGATGTTCTGATATTATCAGCACTGGCCAGATTTTGGAGGTAACTGCCGTGTCCTGGTAGCCTGAGTGTCAGACTGAAGCTCTCAGAACCTTCAGTCTGACATTGCCTCCATTGAAGGCGATTTACAAGGGGGAGGGAATTTGATTTTTCCCTAACCAATCAGTAGAGATCAACGACTCACCCAGAATCTGACGTCATTAGTATCCATGCCTCAGGGGTGCCGAAAACAAGCGAGCATTGCCCGTTTAAAATGTCTCCGTCGTCGTGCACGCCCAGCTGCATCGCCGTTAAATCCAGTTTAGCAGCTTCCTTAATTTGATCCTCCATTAACGCGAGTAGTGGTGAAATACCTCGATAGCATCGTTAATGTGGTCTGTAGGATCTGTAGCGGTCGCCATTGTTGCTATCCTCACCAGCTACCCACCGGCGTACAGCTTGACATCAGCGTGGCGCTGATTGGCTAATCGATAGACCCGCCCCCACCCCCGGCATTCATTGGTCCGTCCATCGTTTGGACGAGATAAATCGCAAATTCATTGCAGTATGCCAGACCAGAGATGCAAGCCTACTCAGTTGAGTGGGCGGGGTCTATGGTCTGGAACCAGGCTAGTGTCCTGGAGCTTCACTGAGCTTGTTTATTAGTCGCAAGAGGCATCAGTTTTGTTTTTGTTGGCCAAATTTTGTATTTAATCTCAAACTGAGTAAATTTGAGCTACTCTTATAAAGGCAATACAATTTTACATGAACTTATTCTCATATATTAAAAGGTGACACTTACTTTTTTAAGAAAAAAAATTAAACATCTTTTTCATATTCCGAATTAATTCCAAATTAAAAGTTAATTGCTCTTTGAAAGGGTGTACTTGCATAATTATGTTAAGACATCATTATTATATCAGTGGCATAAAATGATCTCCAAATAACAATTATATTGTTTATCCCAATAATTTCTGGGACAGTGTATTGTCCAACATAAGTAGTTATCGTGACAGGCCTAACCTCAGCACCATGACCTTTCTTCTTCCTGTTAAGGTTTTCTTTTATTATCCATATTGGAAGAACACCAAGTGAACAGGAAAATTCATTAACAACCTTTATCTGCATTATCAAAGCTGTAAAAAATTGTGGGTTGAGTTGTGATTGTTAATCATATTGCCTTGTCAAGCAAGAGTCCTAATCAGCCAGTGGAATTTCTCAGGAGACATGAGTCCAGGTCCTCATTTACTAACTAATCTGCAAATAGACGTTTGGGCTCAGGGGCTGTTTCCCAAATACCGTAGCTCAAGATAGACTTGTGAGAAGAAAGGGGTCAGGCGAGAGGTAAACTGCAAGAACAGAGAATACTATTGAACTGAGTAACAGAACATCATTGATTCGGCTTTGTGGGTAGATGGGGAGAGGGCGTGTGTGGGAGAGGTGAATGAAGGAGACGGTGATAATACAGGATAGCACATAAACAAATGAAGAAAAACATTTTCTGAAATAATAAAACACATTTAGTGATTTTTATTAGTGACACTGGAGGAGGAGTACAGGGTGAGTCACGATCTGGATTTCTCCATCATTTGTGTTTTTTATGTTTTGCCAGCAACATGTGGGTGTTTCTCTCTCACTCTTTATTATGTTTCCCACGACCAGAGATGTCAGCTGTACCTGTACACTGGGTGATTTCTGAGTGCTTGGGCGGAGTGTGTATGTGGTTGAAGTGACTTACTCAAACCATGTTGACTTTAGACTTGACCCACCTTACATCAGTAATTGTTGTTGAAACGAAAAAGAAATATGAAATACTGATATGAGTACTGACTCAAAATCACTGAGCTTCGTAGTGCTGTGTATAGATCTTGTTGGTTTAATGTTTGTTTGACGTTTGACTTATTAATTTGATTTGCATTCTTAAATTTTAAACCCTATAATATATGTTAAATCTGTGCCCAGCTGACACGTGTTTAGGGAGGTACAAGAAGCACAAACTGATCTGTTATGTATTGTATGGACTGTGCAGTTGATCTGTACAGTTGATTTTATGTTTATACTGACAGAATGAATGACAAGGAGTCATTGAATGAATTATGAATTTATGATATTGGAATCAGTGATATAAAATATAACATTTCACCCACTGTCCAATGTATACTATATATTTGATTCATGATATAATTCAAACTAATCTGCTCATTACACAGTACTGTCCACGTTTATGTCTTTGAGAACTGGACTGATTGTATTTATATCTGATTTATTGCAGCACATACAGACATCTGCTGGTATAAGTTTTTCCTCAAACAAGTGTGGAAGAGATTTGATTGGATCACAAAAAAAAAATCTAAAGGGACATTTCACCCCAAAAATCAAAAGTACAGATTTTTCCTCTTGTAGCACTCTTTGTCAGTCTGGGTTATTTTAGTGTGAGTTGCCAAGTGTTAGAGATTTTGGCTGTAGAGATGTCTCTATTCTCTTCAATGAAATGGAACTCAGAGGGAAGTGTGCATCTACTGCTAGCTTACCTAGCACCACTGAGCTAGCTAATGTTACAGCTCAGCTGCGGAGGATGCTATTAATATTTACATCTCATGCTGTCACAAGTATGAGCCTCTCGTCCATGAGTAGATGCTTGTTTCATTTTGCACAGTGATACGGTTGGTGGGTGTAGTTCTGTAGAAGGAAAAGAGTCTGTGGATTATCACGAGTAAGCGAGTCATAATTTCTGGAAAGAGACATTGCTGTTGAGTTTTTCAAATGTAGCTTTTTGCCACTTCGAGCAGCACAAGCTGAGTGCCATCTAGATCCATAATGTTGGAGACAAGACAGATATCTCTGCAGCCAAATGACCAGCTGATTCCAGTGCTGCGCAGGAGTACTAAATTGGCTCAGCTACTACAGTGGTTCAAGCCCGTAAGACTGCCTGAAGGAGGTCATTTTCCTCCAGTTATAGCAGTCCTCATGGCTATACATGTTATCGTAAAATCTGTCAAATATATTCTGTAAAATGCAGGTGCAGTGTGGTTATGCGCCCTAAAGGAAAAGTCAACCTTCACAATGTAACACATACATTCATCCAGAGTAGACATGCTGTAAAAAGCACAAACAAATAAATAGAAAGGGGGTGCTTCCCTACTGCAGGGGAAATATGGTGGAAAAGCACCCTAACCCCATATACAGGACTCTTCGCTTTGCCCCAGTTAAACATAGACTACCATTCTTATTGGCACTGCACATCAAGGCTCCCAAGTACTTAACAAGCACATGTGAACAGTTGAAATGGGTTGCAAATTCTAAATAACTGGCCAGCATGCATATTCACAGGATTCTTACGCAAGTTTGGAAAGCATGGAAATAAATTTGATCAATTTCCAGGTATTAAAAAGTATGGAAAATGAAAAATAAAGTATGGAAAAATATTTATGTTTCCAGACTATTGCCACTGTTCTAAAATATTGTTTTCTAAAATAGAAAATTAGGTATTTCCAAAAATAATTTAATCAATCCGGATCGTGTTTTATGCCGGGCCAAGCACAGTTTGTGTGAGAGCAAACGTCTCAGAAAACGTACCGCCCCTTTTACCTGATTGACAAGTGGTATGTCCAGTCCGCTGCCCCATGACCCTCCTCCAGCCCCCCAGGTATCAAGTTTTACTCCAACACTGCACCTTCAACAAGGAGACGAGTTTCACATGGTTCACATTGGGTAGATGCAAGTTTTTGGATGGATGGCTTGACAATACCGTATATAAATTCTGGTTGGCCAAGGATTCCCAATTCACACAGAGCTAGATGCAAGCTTCGTTTGACATCGCCAACATGGGGGAGAAGGCGATTCTGAGCCACACGAAAGGAAAAAACACTGACGTCTCGTTACTGCATTGCTTGCACCCAGAGTCCCAACCTTTTTGCCTCAGCCCAGACACTGAACTTACTTTAGTTTTTATTTGCATGCCATTATGGTACTTGGCTACAATCGCAAGAATAATTAAATATGATGTGAAATATGATACACTGATACATTTACTCAGATGTCGCATATTCTCTGGGAAAAAAAAAAAAAAAAAACGCAGAGAAGTCTGGAAATTAGGGTATGGAAAAGTATGGAATTTTGAAATTCCAAATGTGTAGGAACCCTGTATTCATGTATGACACTTTGCAGTTGCTGGCTAATTTATCTTATGCTAATTTTTCCCACCTCTGGCAACATTCCTTACATGTCCTTTCTTTTACCTTTGCCAGGATAAACGCAGTAATAATGCTGTGCTGCAAGGGCAGTGGCAAGCTCCTGTTGCCAGAAAAGTGATGCAGTTATGCAGGCAGGCGAGAAGAGGGACAGACAGGGACACACTGTCCAAATAGGAAAGTAGACAGGAGAAGATGGATGAGATGGACTATAAAACAGGAAGAGGAAGCTTAACCCTATTTTACATCTGTAATATTGTGTTAGAATTCAAAGGAGAAACTCCGTCATTGTCGTGGGAATCAAGTATTAATTAGCCAGCGTTTTAGTTTACCTGAGGAAAAGAGAGGAGGCCTCCATCTGACTTCACAGCACTTGCAGACTCACTGACTTTGTGGGCGCGTCCCTGGGAAGTCTGGGAGTGCTGAAGGCTGTCCAAATCCTCAATTCATCCAGTTCAGAAGGGGCCTCAAGCTGACTTTCTGCATACTTCCAGAGAGTCTGCTTGGGTCACAGACTTCACCTGAGTTCACTAATTTAATTGCCCACAGTTGACTTATTAAGGATGTGTAAAACAATAATTGTGTTTAAACAATACTTGAATCGTGTAGACTAGAAATGATATTCAACAGCATCATGATACAGAAATATATAGAAGTACAGGCTGTAGAGGTAGCCTGATAAAATGCATATTATTATACCAGCCTACGTTATAGACTAAATGCTGTGCAGTGTAATGCCAAGTATATAGGCTAAGAAAATTGGCTGAAAACAACAAAAAGGGTCTTTCAATGCAAGTAATACCCAATATACTTAGTCATAGTGCCGTCCGTATTTATTTAAAGAAACATATGAAAATTATTTTGTTCAGTCACAAAAAAAGCCTATAAATAGGATTTAAATCTTTTTATACAACAGTTAGTTCCGACTGAGCAATTTGATTGGACGAGAAGCATTCCGTGAGTGCTGATATAGAGTATAACATCACTGGGACATGTAACAGTAAAATCACTCCGTTCACAGGTGTTATAAATATAAATACAGCCGTTAATTAACCAACTGTCACACTCGCTACATTGACGCAAACTGACACTAGCGTTACACCAAGAAGATGGATTTTTTTCCCCAAAATTACATTTGAATTAAATTATGAGTGGTCGTCAGGAGAGGACGATGAAAAGGAAAGCCAGGACTTTTCTGTGCAGACTTCCAGGTGTGTTTGTGTAACATCAGCCGACCTGGAGAGGAGCAAAAAATTAAGCAAACACGGTCAGGAATTATCAATGATCATCTGATGAGGTACTGATAAGGATGAGGGAGAGTGGAAGCTGAATCCGACCGTGCCAACTTCCAGGTTTGCCAACGTTTCATCAGCCGAACTGGACGAAGTTACACAGCTGCACATCAATGTAAATACAAAGTAGCTTGTGAGTTCCTGGTGTGTGTGCTGCGTTGCCTGGCTACAGACCGGGGGAACTGTTTTTTTTTTTTTTTTTCGCGGAGCTACATAACATACTTAAATAATTTATTTCATCACCTTTTGTTAACATTTCCTTACTCAGCATTGCTTTTTAAGCTGTTGTTGAACTGTTGTATAAAAGCAATATCACACTTAAGGTCGTGACGTTGTACTGTATATTGTCACGGCTGTGCCTGCGGCCTCGTGCCTAAGACCGAATCACAGCCATGACGATATACAGTACAACATCACTCCCTCTCGTGTGATATTGCTTAAATATCTACAGGGACCGTGCACATGACTTTAGTTGTTGCTTAAATGTTTCTATGGCAACAAGTGAAACAGACTCAAGGCCTGCCTATCAGTGGCTTCTGCCCTTACAGACTTAACGTGATTATGTCACAGAATGCACGACTGAAGTTGGCAGGGGCTCAGTCTGCAAGTCCTGAGGGTGAACATTTGGATAAAGCCAAATACGCAGACGTCACTCATTTGCATAAAAACTCTGTGTCTATATTTATATATTATTGTAATATTAAAGAGAAATAAACACACAAGGATCATAGCTAAACACTTAATGATTATGGTGGCTGTGGCTCAGAGGTAGAGCAGGTCGTCCACCAATCGTAAGATTAGCGGTTCAATTCCCAGCTCCTCCAGTCTGCATGTCGAAGTATCCCTGAGCAAGCCCAAATTGCTCCCAATGATGCTTCCATCGGAGTGTGAGTGTGTTAAAAAAACAAAAAAACTGAGTAGCAGGTGGCACCTTGTATGGTAGCCTCGGCCACCAGTGTATGAATGTGTGTGTGAATGGGTGAATGTGACTCATCGTGTAAAAAGTGCTTTGAGTGGTCGGACGACTAGAAAGGCGCTATACAAATGCTGGTCCATTTACCATTTACTTTCCATCATACCAAGGAACTGAATACTGATGCCAGGAAAATTTTACTACGCTGCAACAAAGAGTGCTCATTATCAGCCAGTGGGAGACCCATTGTAGCTCAAGCATGACCTTACTTTGATGGATGGCATGAATCAAACATAAAATGTAGGAAAGAGTGAGATCAGTTCTAAAGACACTTAAGGTGCACCTACAACAATGTTTGTACATCTGTGAATTCAAAACATTATAAAACACAGTACATCAGATGGAGCCTAAGTGGCTTGTCTTCAGTGCTGTTGTTTAATAGAAACCCTTGGTAGGAAGTACAGGTAGGGGTTTAAGCAGGACTTACAGGACCAATGTATTCATTTATTCATTATGTAACATTTGATCTTTTTTTTCTCTGATCTCTCTACCAACCACCTGTCTCTCACTCTCCACCTCTACCATCTGCTCGGCCTCCCTCCATCTTTCTTTGGCTCTCTTTTTCACCCACCCTCCCCCTCCTTCTCCCACTCCACTCACCATTCTCCCAGCCTTGTACCCAAACCTAGAGGAGCTGGGAGACTACATGGGTCTGGCCCTTAACAGTGATGAAGTCCAGAGGAACCTGGCCCTGGTGCCTGTGGCTGACAATGTAAGTTGTTTTGTTTGTCCTGGGGATGTGTGTCAATGCATACATGTATACAGCTGAAAGTGTGGCTGTAGTATTAAAAGATTACTCCACTGATTTAGCAGCGCACTATAACATTGTCAGACTAATGGACAGTTATAAAAACACAAAAGGCTTCATACAACTTCAAACAACCGTAAATAGATTTTAATGTATAAAATCAGTGAGGTTTCCCATTTATATCCTCATTCCATCCAAAAATTAGATTTTGTAATTTGGGTAAAAAAAATAACACCCATGTTATCAAAAAAAATTCTTAGATGTCAGGTCACGTGAAAGGGAAACTATTATTCTTTTCCATATTTTGTGTTGTATATATAATGTTACAGTGATGGATGTTCATAATAATAAGATAAGATAAACTTTAGTGTCCCGCAAGGGAAATTCGTCTTGGGCAGTATAGTGCGAACAGTTGCAATATTCACATACATACATACCTACAGTACAGGCCAAAAGTTTGGACACACCTTCTCATTCAATGCGTTTTCTTTATTTTCATGACTATTTACATTGTAGATTCTCACTGAAGGCATCAAAACTATGAATGAACACATGTGGAGTTATGTACTTAACAAAAAAAGGTGAAATAACTGAAAACATGTTTTATATTCTAGTTTCTTCAAAATAGCCACCCTTTGCTCTGATTACTGCTTTGCACACTCTTGGCATTCTCTCCATGAGCTTCAAGAGGTAGTCACCTGAAATGGTTTCCACTTCACAGGTGTGCCTTATCAGGGTTAATTAGTGGAATTTCTTGCTTTATCAATGGGGTTGGGACCATCAGTTGTGTTGTGCAGAAGTCAGGTTAATACACAGCCGACAGCCCTATTGGACAACTGTTAAAATTCATATTATGGCAAGAACCAATCAGCTAACTAAAGAAAAACGAGTGGCCATCATTACTTTAAGAAATGAAGGTCAGTCAGTCCGGAAAATTGCAAAAACTTTAAATGTGTCCCCAAGTGGAGTCGCAAAAACCATCAAGCGCTACAACTAAACTGGCACACATGAGGACCGACCCAGGAAAGGAAGACCAAGAGTCACCTCTGCTTCTGAGGATAAGTTCATCCGAGTCACCAGCCTCAGAAATCGCAAGTTAACAGCAGCTCAGATCAGAGACCAGATGAATGCCACACAGAGTTCTAGCAGCAGACCCATCTCTAGAACAACTGTTAAGAGGAGACTGCGCCAATCAGGCCTTCATGGTCAAATAGCTGCTAGGAAACCACTGCTAAGGAGAGGCAACAAGCAGAAGAGATTTGTTTGGGCCAAGAAACACAAGGAATGGACATTAGACCAGTGGAAATCTGTGCTTTGGTCTGATGAGTCCAAATTTGAGATCTTTGGTTCCAACCGCCGTGTCTTTGTGAGACGCAGAAAAGGTGAACTGATGGATTCCACATGCCTGGTTCCCACTGTGAAGCATGGAGGAGGAGGTGTGATGGTGTGGGGGTGTTTTGCTGGTGACACTGTTGGGGATTTATTCAAAATTGAAGGCACACTGAACCAGCATGGCTACCACAGCATCCTGCAGCGACATGCCATCCCATCCGGTTTGCGTTTAGTTGGACGATCATTTATTTTTCAACAGGACAATGACCCCAAACACACCTCCAGGCTGTGTAAGGGCTATTTGACCAAGAAGGAGAGTGATGGAGTGCTGCGGCAGATGACCTGGCCTCCACAGTCACCGGACCTGAACCCAATCGAGATGGTTTGGGGTGAGCTGGACCGCAGAGTGAAGGCAAAGGGGCCAACAAGTGCTAAACACCTCTGGGAACTCCTTCAAGACTGTTGGAAAACCATTTCAGGTGACTACCTCTTGAAGCTCATGGAGAGAATGCCAAGAGTGTGCAAAGCAGTAATCAGAGCAAAGGGTGGCTATTTTGAAGAAACTAGAATATAAAACATGTTTTCAGTTATTTCACCTTTTTTTGTTAAGTACATAACTCCACATGTGTTCATTCATAGTTTTGATGCCTTCAGTGAGAATCTACAATGTAAATAGTCATGAAAATAAAGAAAACGCATTGAATGAGAAGGTGTGTCCAAACTTTTGGCCTGTACTGTACATACAATCAACACAGACAAGTTGCCAACATAGTGCGCTGAGTGTGTTACAGTTGCAGACTACTGTTGCAAGAGTAGTGCAACCATTTGCCTTGTTTATAAGGTTACAAACAAGGGATCTACAGGAATTGCACTGGCCTATCTCAAAGTGCAAGTGAGTGCATAGTCTCAGCACTACAGCCCAGGTCGCCAGCCGTGCAGCGCCCCGGAAGTAGTCGAAAAATCGTTGCCTAAGTTCGAAATAATAATGTTTTCTCTACTGTGGCTACAGAATGACTTCAGATCGTGACCGATCTCTCTATAGGGTCATCTGCTCACATTATGTAGCCTACATTGCTACATGAAGCAATATGCTAACTTCAGGGAAACATGTAAACTTTGTTGCCAGTGTTGTTAATTTGTAATGATGATGATGTTCATTTCTCAGCAGTTTTTCTTGGCATACAGTGTTGCTATTCTCCGTTACAATCATTCCTTGGCTGTAGTCAGGGTGCAGAGACACAGAGACACAAGACCCGAAAATGCTGACCAATTAGAGCAGACTGGAATTTTTCAGGAGGGGAGCTTAAAGAGACAGTCGCTAAAGCAGTGTGAGAGTGCTTTGACGCTCAAAAGAGTGTTTTTGATAGAGGGTGAATACAGGTGTTCCAGCACAGACGATATGAGAAAAACTGTTTTTTGGCTATTAAAGCATGTAAACATGCTCCAGTGGAAACCTTAAATACAATTATGAACCTGAAAATGAACATAATAGGTCCTCTTTAAAGCCGCTCACTTCAATGCATCAGCCCTCTGTGATTAAAAACCTGTTTTTGGTAGATGGAAGGAGCCATGAGCTGTAGATCTATCAAAACACAACAGTGTTCTGTTCCTGGAGATCCACATTTCAGAGTGACTCACTGCAGGCCTGGAGCAGTGTGTGGGAGGGTGTGAGCTCTTCACTCCCCTCCATTTGCGTGTGTGTGTGTGTGTATGTGTTCATGCGGATCCTGCAGATGTCAAGGCTTTCACAGCACCCTCGCTTGTCAGCTGGCATTCAACCATCTGTGTTCTCTGCCATTTGCTGATATCTTCACCTCGACCATTATTTTCTTATGTTTTTAATTTCTCTATTGTTCGTGCAAAGCATGTTGATGATGAAGTTTTCAAAAGCAGTGCCTAAAGCGTTCCTGATCTCATTCACTGGTGGAGGAGGAGATGAAAGTGAATCCTCCCACATGCCTCTATTTGATGCAGCATTCCTTTTTTATCTCTAGCTGAATTTTAATGTAACATGCCTCTTTAATCCTTTCTTCCTCTCGCCTCTGTCTCACCCCCACTCAATTTCCCTCCTGTCCTCTCTCAACACACCTCTTTCATTTTCTCACCTTCCTTGCTGTCTGCCCCCCCTTCCCTCCCCTCCTCAGCAAGTGGCAGTGCCCGCCAGCTCAAGTTTTGGAGGGATGGTGCGGCCGGTGACGGGGGCAGATGTTGGCATCAGGAGGGCAGAGATCCGCCCAGGGCTGCGGGAGGTTATCCTCTGTAAGGACCAGGATGGGAAAGTGGGACTCCGGCTCAGGGCCATCGACAACGTGAGTCAGCATCACAAACTCTTTGATAAGCTCCTGTTCTTGCATGAATTATTCAGCACAGACTGACTGTCATGAACACCCCTTCCCTTTAACAACATACTGATGACTTAAGAAATCCACACACCCTCTTCTCTTCCACACAAGATCCAGGTCAAACTCTGCTTCACTTAGTGTAAACATTCAAAGTTTAACCTCTTTTATTCTCTATCTGGACCATCATGATCTGACATGTGGATCACAAGGGGTTTCCCTAATACGCCTGATCTAAACGATGCAACATTTTTTGCCAAATCTAAATATTTAACTCTCTATCGTATGAAGTTGCTGTGAGCTGTAAATTCACCACTTCTAAGCAGTAGGCAGAAGATAACGTTATCTTGGAGCCCCAGACCAAGCCTCTCTCCATCTGGGCAGCTGCCTTTGTCTCACTCAGGCCCACCCTGGGTCTGGGTCCGCAGCTGCCTGTGCCAGAGAGCGGCATAAAAACATCCCCAAAAACATCCCTAGAAGAACACTGCACACTGACTGACCCCTCATGTTTGACTTAAAGAATCTCAGCCAGCTGAGGGGTCTCTAACTGATGATTAGAATCTTTGACTTCCAAGGGACAGCCTTATACCTATATCTTTAAAAAAAAAAAAAACGAGGAAAAGTTGAGATTGAGGTCATTAAATTCAATTATTTTTGTTAAAGGTAAATATAACAATGCTATAACATGACAACGCTGACTTTTCTTTTCTTAGTTATTAGCAGAGAACAGCAGAATGACTGTAGTAAACATTAACAAGAGTAAGCAAGTGCTGCTGGTACCAGCGTATGTATACTGCAGTAAATAATTCCAATATTCAGATTCAATATGTATCGATAAATTGTTATTTTTTGATAACACTAATATACAATCTATAATATAGATCTATTAAATGCAAGTACACTGTGGTGGAACCATCATGTCTGAGTTGTTCAGCCACACACTCTCATATCAGATTACTAAACTTGTGACTAGATACTAAGCATATGTAGGAAAATAATCCCTTTGTTATTCTAATAGTGGACAAATACAACAGTCCTGTTTCTGTGAAAAATGGGTCAAAGTTTAACCAAAGCTAATAAGGGCTTTCAAGAACTACAGTTAGTCAGTTCAGGCGAGGATCTTCCTAAGTGTCATTGTTTTGAGCACAAAAGTCACTTTTTGTTACTGTGGCCCTGCAAGGAAATATGGGGACAAATGAGTTTCTATCCTTTAAGATTCACTTTACAGAGTGACAAGTCAAATATTTTAGCCTACATTGCTAGTGTTAATTTTCCTGGGGCTGTTTCACAGTAAAGGCGTACCACTGCTTCCACATTAAACCACATAGTATAGTATAGTAGCTTTATCTCTGGATTACCCCAGCAAAGGCACAGTGCAGGAAATAAAGTTGTTGGGCTCTCTCTATGACAGTTCTTTGGTAGATAATATTCCTCAGACATATTTGCATTGTCTATAACAGTACAGTGATTCTAACAGGGTAAAGATAACTAAAACTGGGACTGGGTGATGTTTCTGATCAATGCTAAGAGCAATAAAGAATGAATTTGTTGCAAGATAAACACAAACAGAAACTTTGTTTTGGTACTTGGCCAACTTGCAAGTGGTAACAGTCTCTTGAATGTCTTGAATTATTCAGTTTGTGTTGACTTGCACTAATACAGTTGGCAGCCTTTGAAATGACTGAAATGAGTTGGCAGAAAGAGACGACTCAGTGCATTGGTGATCGATGCACTGCTTAAATGACACAGCACAGTTGACTTAACAGTGTGCCAAATCCTCAAAATTAAGGACATCATTCCAGTCAAATAATTATGTTATATTGCATTGGCATCAAGTAAAACAAGTCTTTTAAAATAATTGATCCGACACAAGCCCTCTGTTGATTCTGTTTGGTTTAATGATCCTTTCACTTTTTGGAATATCTAGCAATATGTTTTCTCTCTTTATCAACACTTCATCTCCTCTTGCCTCCTTCCTCTTTAGTTGCTGCTTTGTTTTCTCTCCACTGTCGGTGTCTGCCTTCTGTCTATCCTCTCTCCATCCATTCTTGGACTCATTTTGTAATGCTTTATCTGTTTCCTCTCTCAGGGAGTGTTTATCCAGCTGGTGCAGGCTAACTCCCCTGCGGCCCTGGCCGGGCTGCGTTTTGGCGACCAGGTCCTTCAGATCAACGGGCAGAACTGTGCTGGCTGGAGCGTAGACAAGGCCCACAAGGCCCTGAAGGCTGCGGCCGAGACGCGCATTGAGCTCGTGGTCAGGGACAGGTGAGGAGTTTTTTACACACTTAGGACAGAGGATTATAACGTTGTGTCCTAAGCCTTCTCATTTAGTCTCATTTTTAATGTTTTCCAAGCATCATGAGGTTACAGCTCTCATCATCTTTGATATGTACAGTTATCATGGTTACAGGTGTTTTTCTCATGTATTGTGATGTTAAACGGAAAGGTATACCTGTGATTACCAGACTGTAAAGGTTCACACACACAGTGACCATGCCGCTCTGCTGTCTCATAGTAGCTGTTAGAAGCTGAAAGGTTTGGCTCCCTCTGCTGGCTGCTTCATCCTTTGCACTTTGCTACCCAGCTTTCATTATCATATAGTTCCATGTTGATTTGTATAGATACAGTTGGTATTTAGGGGATCGCTCACAAAACGTCACATCCTTTTATGCCAAGGGGGAAAACAAGGCATTTACTACCATGCTGAAGAATTGCTGTGTGGCATTCTGTACATCAAACATCCTGTAAAATCTAGAGTTAAAGGGTAATTTTCTACATGGACCACATTTTCTCACGTTTTTGTGTCTAAGTGATTATTAGCAACAACGTTTTTGAAATTGGTCTAGTATTGTGTGAGAGCAGTAAGCAGGCTACAATGTCAACACCCATGGCATGTTCATACTGTCAATTTCTGTCCTCTTAAAGTGTTTTTGTCACTGATTGGCTCAGATTGTTATCGTAAGTGTGTGACCAGATTATTAAATAGGATCCCTATAGAATTAGACGTTTTGAACTTCTTTTTTGAACCAGGAACAGTCCCAAAGACGCCATTGTCAAAGTTGACATTTAAATAAACAGTAATTTTATCATCGTAAAACTCACTTCATCAGAGTCAACAGAAACATAATTAAACTCAGAGAAACCATCCTGGTTTGACTTTCCAGTGTTTTAACAATCACCAATTCTGGTTTGGTTGAAATAAACCTTTAATTCACACGATTAGATGTTAAAATATGCTGACTTTATACAAACTAAAATGACTGTTTATTTAAATGGACTGATTTTGGGGCTGTTTCTGGTCAAACAAGAAGGATCTAATATTTTATCCAAACAGTGTGAGATTGTCTAGCCACTGGAAAAAAAAACATTGTGAGCCTCCAAGGACCTGTAGGTCTTGAGGTTGCAAATTTCAGGGTGATAACGTTATAACACATCATCACATCACAGGCTAATGGCTTTGAGTAATGTTAGTGCTACTATACTGTCAAGAAATGTGCATGGAAATTGCTAAAACATGCTAGTCTGTTACATCACAGTGTTAATGGCTTCAGGGTACTATTATTATGGTAAGTTCATTAATTATATAGTAAATGCAATAGTGTCTATGTGGGTTTAAAACTGCGGTTTCCCAGCATTTACAGGCTGAGGGAAAGGACTGCTTTCCCCCTTGCGGTCTCCGCCCTCATGATGCCCCCAAACTATGACTAGACAGTGACTGTGATTGTGTTTTCTTGATCCTGATTATATATTTACAGATATAGTGGTACAATGTTATTTCACTTTCAATGTCTTAGTATAGGGCTCTTTATAACAAAGCTGTGTGTATGTGTGTGTCTCAAGGCCATTTCAGCGCACCGTCACCATGCACAAAGACAGCTCCGGCCACGTGGGCTTTATCTACAAGTCTGGTAAAATCACCTCACTGGTCAAGGATGGCTCTGCTGCCCGCAACGGCCTGCTGACTGAGCATTACATCTGTGAAATCAACGGTCAAAACATTATTGGACTCAAGGTTAGACACCTGTTTATGTATATGACTCTTTTCATCAAATAGTTTGCTCACTGGTGGATTTAAACTGTTCACTAAGTGCTCATAGTGTGAGGAAGTCATGTGTTTGCTCTAATACAAGATGACCTTCATTAATCTTGAATTTTGGAAAAACAAATTGAAAATAAATACAGAACTTGTATGATCTTATAGAATGTTTGGTGGCTAACTTTGCATTGGCATGGCTGCTTACATACTTTCAGAATATATTGTAACACGGGAACGTGCAGCGTTTTTTATGTAAGTGCAGTATTCACCAGCTTTAAGTCTGTACAAATGTGAAGTGAGAAGGTGTTTAGTTCGTATCAGTATTGTTGCCATAGTTTGCTCTTCACCCTGTGATTTCCCTGGTAGGCGTGCAGTTCCATCCTGCTCTGTGATGAAGGCTTTGAATGTGTTCTTTGCCTAAACATTTAAGAAACCTACAGTGTTATGATGATTTATTAATCTCACAAGGTCCTCACATGTCACTATTCCTGTGTGAAAATTCCAGGACTCTCAGATCAAGGACATTCTGACCACCTCTCCCACTGCCATGACCATCACCATCATGCCCAAGTTCATCTATGAACACATGATTAAGAGGTAGGACTCCAACGTTTCAGTGAATCTAGTGTCATTGCCATATCATTAAAGGGTTACTATGTAGAAATTGTCAGATACTGTTTGTAAAGTATTGCCAGTGAAAGTCAAAGTAAAAGCCAACCCCAGATTTACTCGTTTTGGAATTACCTTTGTCTGCATGGTGTTTCACCTCACTTTATTTGCCTTTTTATTGGCGCTGTGTCTGTGATTTTTGTAGCTACCTCTTGGATGCCTGCTGTTTATGGTCTTTTTATTAAGTCCCGACCTCACCTGCGGGCTGTTGCCTGGAACATCCCACACATAGTAAAATAAAAATAAGTAAATACAGGCAGAGGGCAGAGTCTCTGCGGATGAATACACCACCACACACTTCTAGTGGGTCATAAGCTATGATAGAGAGTTATTTCTGCTGTATGAGTCTATATATTGTTTGTCTTTTTTGGGAAGATCCTACACAGTATACCTATAATAATGTAATTACACAGAAACTACACCAGTGTTTCCCACAGGATTTTGGGAAACTATGGTGGGGGGGGGGGCATTCTCGGTCCCTCTTCTCCACACTTTGGGCTCTAGTTTCGCAGACCGGGCGAGGCGGGGGCGCAGCGCACCTGCGCTTTGCCAACTGGGTGTGGCCAGGCTGGTGCAGCTACTCGTCTGTCCCACCTCCGTCCCTCCTACCTGCGCAAGTCGGAAAGAGGGAGGAGAGAAGGCGTGGAGTGGGTTTTACACACATCAATCAAATGAGCCCCTCTCCTCGCCCTTAAATGTGCCGCACAAAGGCGTGATGAGAGTTTACTCAATTCGCCATGGCAGAAGAGAGTAGCAGCGTCAGACGGCCAAACTTCTCCCAGGAGGAAACTGATGTTTTGGTCCGGGAGGTCCAAGCTCACAGTGTCCGAATATACGGAACTGCGAGCAGACCTCCACGGGCTGATGATGCAAAGGTAGCCTGGGAGGAGGTCACCACAATTGTAAATCAATGTTGCGTTTCTCTCGTGCGCGCGCGCTCTCTTTTTCTCTCTCGCAGTCTCACTCTGTTTCTTTTCTTTTGACTTTTCTAAGATGACAGATGCTGAATATATACTCCCTATCTGATGCTGTGGCTGTTTGTGGTTGGCTGAGAGGGATGTGAACTCATTAGTTTGCAGCTGTGTTAATCAAATCAGGTTGGGTTTCCATTACGCGTGCCAAACGTGCCAAACGGTGCCAATCCCCTTTGATCTGACATCAGATGTGACGGGACAGTCGATATAGAGATACATTTATGTGCTGATTGCAGATAGTTGCATTGAATAGTGGTTTTTGTGGGTATTTATTGCATCGTTAATGTGCCTGATATTCTGGAAACCTGCCTGTGAGGTTTTGGTGACGTGTGCGCACTGTCCACCGGTCAGCCAAACTTCGGCTTACACCGGCTGCGCTCCCCCTGCGCTGACAGTAGACCTGGTTTCAGCTGGCGAGCTTTTAGCGCACCTTCGGCGAAGCCTTTGGGCACAAAACTGTCACTGCGCCAAGCTGGGTCTGTCGACACCTCTCCCTGCTGCGCCACCACACCCATCTCAGCGCACCTCGGTCTGCCAAACTACCAAACTGAGCGCGCCTCGGGTTGCGCTGCTCGAAACTAGCTCTGTGTGGGGTTCGCCACCCTGCGCTGCGCCAGGAAACTAGAGCCCTTTGACTTATTCCCACCCAGCCGACAGTGGGACTTATATTCATTGTGCTGACAGTGGCTTGGAAAACCGCCCATAACCGTGTCACACGGGGAAGAGGGAAGAGGGAAGGCGGCTGGAGTTCCTCCAACATTTGCGGTTAGATTATCATATATTTTTATTGACAAAAATATAGGCTGCTTCGGCTGATTTTTTTTTTATGTGCACATGTGCCCCTAAATATTTTTTACAGTTCGCACACATGTATTTTTAGTCGAGTGAAACGCTCGCACTGTTGAGCGCTGGATCTGACAGCCTGAGCACATCGGCACAAAATGCTACGGCGTTCAAGATATTATTCATATCATGAGAAGTCAATACTTTCGGCAGCCTAAATCTTTTATTTAGAAACTATGGCGGGTCAAATTAAACTATGGCGGGCCGCCATAGTTTCGTTAATTGATGGGAAACACTGCTACACACATGGTGCTGTCAGTCAGCAGAATTAGTTTTCCCCCTGGTTCTGTGTAGCGCTGCTGATGCAAAACTTCACCAAAGCCGCCCAATTAATGAGTTAACTATTGCATCATATGAATTGATATTTACTTCTATTGGTTAGCTCGTATTCAGTTGGTGTGAATATAAAATGGACCAGAACTAAATGCAATAATCATTTGATGCCTTGGCTTAGACTAGACATACTCAGCTTCCTTTGTCTGGGGGCCATTTTTGAAAAATGACACAAGGCCAGGGACCAGTTCATAAATAAACATAAATACATAAATAATTAGCCCAGATATTTGTTGAGGGGTACGAGGGATCCTCCCCTGGCACTTTTTGTTTTTTGAATCAATTTATTTTCATTGTGAATTTCAAAATGGTCAGTAGGCCACCTGGCACCCTATTGCGGGCCAGATTTGGCCCAAGGACCACAAGTTCCTGATAAAGACGATTTTCTTGCATGCCTCCATGGTGAACGAAGAATCCAGAAACGGAGGAAATTCTTGATGAATTTAAGTCATGGGGTTTAACAACAGTAAAACTATATCAAAACATCCGTTTACAAAGTCTTACAACTTGTGCAGAATAATTTATCCAGTCCTATGCTAAGTACTTTGCCAAGATTTTCACTGAACCAGATTATTTAAAACACATCTCAAAAGAGAGGACAGGGGCATTACTGTGCGTGAGACTGTTTATGTGGACATTTTTGGATTCTTCATTCGACGCAACAAAGTTTTCTTTCTGAATTCAATTTAACACAATGTGAGGAACTGATACAGAAATGGTCATTGGGTGGGCGAAATAATCTAAAGGTTTTGCATGATGCCATTGACTGACGGGCTTACGGATGTGATTTGTTTATCTGTTTTCCAGGATGTCAGGAGGTCTCCTGCGATCAGCCATGGATCACTCTGTTCCAGAGGTTTGAAGATCAGGAGGACTGTCAACTGTCAGGATGTCTACAATACAGAGATCTCTCTCTCTTTCTCTCTCTCTTTATCTCTTTCTTTCTCTCTCTCTCTGTCTTCATACCAAACCACCTCCTGCATCACAATCATCGTCGCCATTTCTCATCTTTAACATGATCTTAAAATGCCTTTTTTTTCTATTCTTCAGTTGTTCAGTGTAATCTTTACCTTTTCTACATTTTCCTTTTCTCTGTTGACATGTCTCATACTTTTTTATATGTTAACCTTGTAGTGTACGTATGACATGTTTATTTTCTTGTTTTGTATTTGAGATCAAGGACAGTACAAAATGTTTATTTTAAGCCATGCACACTATCATGAGTCCAGAGCTTCCTCCTCATTGTGGAGATGAATCATTGGCATGTGACGTTTCATCTTGTCAAAATGCTGTAAAAGCCAATGATCAGTCATCAGAGCCCTATCATGTTGATGACAGCTGTGCTCCCAGTCCCTGCACTTGGCCCCTAACTTGTGTACGTAAATAATCTGAGCTGAATAAAAATCCAGGGCCTCATGGTAATAAGTTTGCTGACTTGATTCTAGATTCCAGTGTCATTTTTACTTGGCCAGTAAAACTAACAAGTTTTAGCAAAGGAGTTGTTTTTAGTTTACACCATATGTTGATGAAAATTAGTGTTGATTTTGACATCTTGAGATTTTTTTTTTTTTTCATTTTGTAGATACCAGATATTTCTAACATACAAGTGAGAGTTATGACATAAGCAGTTACCACTTTCTCCAAGAGGTGGCAAGTTATCATTGTGCCACATTTCAATGTCATGATGAGACTCTGATGTGTTGAATTTTTAGGTATTGGGAACACTGTGTGCACATTCCAGGGGAAAGTGTAGGGAAAGGGGCAGCAGTAGATGTTTGTTGTCCCTTGCAGCTGGGACTTAACCTTGTCCACAAACACCACAAGAACAACGACATGGTGAAAGGCACAAGTAAACACTGATGTGATTAACTGGCAAGATATGGTCTTCAAACTATAGCGATATAGTTGTGAATAGTTGGAGAAAGAGTAGTTGGTGTTTGTCTGGACAGGGTCTGTGCAGGGCGGACCCACTAAGTGCACTTTCCACTACCTTTTAAGAGGTTGTCTTTCCTGTATCCATTTCAACAGTGAAGTTCAACAGTTGTGCTTTTTTTATTATTGTGTTTGTGGTGCCTCTTGTCAATGAGAGAACTCATGAAAACAAACCTGTATGTTAAACATAGGTAACTGCTGAAATTTGATGCTGAAAATCATCCGCTCAAATTGAAAGCATTTAAATTCCACATCATGGTTTAAGCCAGTGAACTTGCTCTCCTCTGCTAAGTGTTGTTAGAGGATGTCCCTCTGTAATATCCCTTCCCTGACTGATGAGCACAGTGAGACTGAGCAGAGCTCACAGTTGTGAATTTCTACTTGTTATATAAAGTTGCTCCTTTTAATGCTGTTCATGTTCGGATGCATGTATTCCTTTAATTTTCTAGGTATGCAATCTGATAAACATCACTGTCATTCTGTAAGAAAAGGCTAGAAAAAAATCTAAAAGTTTATATACGAATGTAACCAAGATAATATTGGAAAACAAATAAACAGTCTTTCTGTTCACATAAGCTTGGTGGTGTTACATTTTTCTTCATAGAAACACAAGGGCGGAGGTATCATTTCAACATTGGTAGTGACACATTAAAGGTGGGATGGTCTTCCCCAGGAAATTTTGAGCGTCACTTAATTTTCTGTACTCTGGTGAACCTATATGTACTAATTTCTGCCTTGTCTTCATCAATTTATGGTGGAAATGTCTGTATTTATGTAAAGGAAAACACAAAATCAAGGTGCCAGGTGACAATTTAAAATATAAAACTTAAGACCATCTTTGATCCGATCACACCAGATGTGGTGCTGATCAGTGACTTAAAAAGAATGTGGGCCAGAGGGGTGTATATGACGTGATCTTTCCAAGTAGGACATGGTCCTAGATCAACGTCCCACATCGCATTCCAAGACCAACATTGTAATCAACCAATCACAGCCCTTTGACATCATCAGCATGCTGCTCTTGGGCTTCTATCCAGTTATTACAACTGAACAAAATCCTCAATAACATTCAACAGAAACCCTAAAGGTTATTGCAGGGTTAGCAAGTTAGCTTGCTAACTAGGTTGGCTATGCTAATGAGTAAACTTGCCAATACAATATTAACGAGTTTCATTAACATTAAGAGTAAGGATAATGTAATTTTGCAATTGATTGCAGTGCTCATGTGGATCCAGGACCATCACTGCCATGATGACCCTGTATAATCTGTTGATCCAGAACCATTGCCTTCATCTTTATCCTGTATAATTTGGTTGATCCAGGAACATCATCACCATTTTGACCCTGGATAATTTGTATATTGATCCAAGACCGTCACTGACTATCCTTACTCTTTGTTGGTGAACAATATTCTACCCTGTTGGCAAACTTACTTAGCATAGCATACCAACTTGGCAAGCTAGCTTGCTTCCATTCTAGTCTATTGGCAAGTTTACTTGTTAGCATAGCCAACCTAGTCAGCAGGCTAACTCACTAATTAATAGGGGTGTAACGATACATCGATCCACATCGATACATCGATTTATTGATTAATGATCCGATTATAACGATGCAAAATGAAAACATCGATCCATATCTTCATCTTAAAGATACACATTTATTTTGAAATTCACATAGCATGTCTGTGTCACCGTTTCTGGGCGAGCGCGCCTCCGCTCAAACAACAAACAGAGCTCAGAAATAAAATGGTCAAATCATATTCTTGTTGTTTTTGTGAGTTGATGTAAATGATTGTGTTAGATGGGCATGAGATATCGCGTCATATCGATTGCAGGCTCCTGAATCGAATCGAATCAAAATCGTATCGTGACAGACTTTGTGATACTGGCAAACATCGTATCACCATCCAAACAAATCGATATAACATCGTATCGTGATGAAGCTGGTGATTTACACCCCTACTAATTAACACTGCAGTAGCTTTTAAGATTTTTGTTCAGTGTTACTAAGGATTTTATTCAATTGTGCTAACTTCAATTTGGAAAACTAGCTTAGCTCTGAAGAAGCACAAAGCAATTTTTAAAGAATCACAGGAGCAGCACACTGATGACATCAGAGGGCTGTGATGGGATGATCGCAATGTTGGTCCAGGAATGCAATGTGCGATGTTGATCCAGGGGCATGCCCTACTTGGAAATATCATGTTGTGTGAGGTGCAGTCATCCCATATTGAACAATACAATGTTTTGTCCCTGACTGGATCATTACAAGAAACAAATTGTCCTGTATTTCCGTGTACAAGAGCTGTTACTATAAGGACAATGTCCTACTCACTTATGTCTGATTCCAACACAGTTTTGTTTTGTGTCATACAGTATACAGCAGGGGTCTTTTTAGTAAATGGTCAACGTTCAGCACAATTTGATCTAAACTTTGCCAGACCAGTAAAACCACTTCATATTAACCTATAAATAACAACTCCTCCACTGTTTCCCTTTCTTGTAGTGTTAAGAAGTACAAGTAAGGTCTGAAAACATTCATCCATTCAAAAACAGATGATGAACAGTCTGAGCTGTCTCAAGAAAAATAAGAGCAATTTCAACAATGTGTCTCAGTTTTCCCATATTCAATCAATGTACTACTGTTATGACATGCATTGTTCAATACATTTCCACTCCTGTGTAGTTGCTCCTGTTACACTGGCATCACTGCACATCAAACTAAAGTGAGGAAGCACCTGAAGTTATCCACTGCCTCACAAAGCATTTACAAATAAAAAAAAGCTGGACAGTGCCTTAGCAGCATGTCTCAATACTGTTTTAACATAGTTCTATCAAGCAGGTTCTTTTGTAGTGAATTTGCTGGTTGCCAAAATTTTGTACGATGTTCAGTATCTTCAAGAATGACCACAATAAGTATTCATTGTTTTTTCAGAGAGCTCTATTCTGGTTGGGGTCAGCATTTCACATAACGTCGGCTACTCACTGTTCAACTTGCTCCTGAAACCTGGCACCTCTTAGCCTGCTCAAGTGCATCTAAATAGGTGTGCAGAGTCATCCAGTTGGGCCCTGATATACAGAGTACACCCCCTGGTGTTCAGTGCAAGGAAATGCACTTCTTTAGGGATGGATAAAAATGGCACTGAAGAAAAGGCAGAGAAGTTTAATTATTTTTGTGTTTTTCAGTGTCCAATCTTGTGGAATATGTGCATGCAGCAGTAGAGAGACAAAAACTGGACCAAAATGCAAGGCAACAAATAATGGGGAGGTTGGCCTGTCAGAAATGTAGGCGGTTTTGAGAAACGTTTTGCTAAATGAGCATGATCTGCTATGCATGCACTCTGTATGTTACACAGCTAGCATGCTACCAGTGTTAGCTAACTAAATTATACACTAAAGAAAACATACATATTATTTTTGATATTCCATTTCTGCCAATTTATCTCCTAAATCCTACATAATGGACCTTTGTAATGTGCATACATTTGAAACAGCCAATTTTAAAAAGCTCTGAAGGCCAAAGCTGTGCAAACATATTGTATACAATTAAAGAAATGCATGTGTATTATCTGGTCCTGCTTTGTCCTTTATAAAGTTGTGTGCAGACTCCTCCAATCCTCATCACCAAGATGAATGAAACAATAACATACTTACATTATTTTTTATTTTAAGCAACATAAAATGATTTATTCATCCACAGACCTGGTCAGGTTCGTTTTGACCACGTGTCCATCTCTTTGTCCCCTCAGATCAGCCAGGTAGGTCTGAGGTTTGGGCATGTTGCTCTCACTGTCTCTTTTGCTTTGACAGGCAGTGTTCTTGGGCAGCCAGGTCTGAGTGACGTTTTCCCGTCTCATGTGGCTGAGGTCAGTCTGCACTGAGTGTGTCACTTTGGTCCACAGATCAGCCTGGAATTATCACATTTAAAAACATTTTTCTTCTTTTTTACACTTAATATAGTGCCAATAAATACAGTTCCTGATGTGTTGTTTGATGTTAGAGAAGATGAAAAGTTTTTCTTCCCCAAACTACACAGCAACAATGATTCATTCACATCACACAGACCTGCATCTAGTGAATTCTGGCTCACCGGTTTGATGGCTTTTCTCCCACTCATTCCACTCATATGGCTTGACAATGTTTGTCTCCACTGGGTGAAGGTCTGTCTGTGTGCTGCCCTCACACTTGGTGATGTTTTTTTTTTTTTTTTTTACCAATACTAGATGTAGTAATAAACTATATAAATGCATAAATAAGAATAATGAATCTTAGTGATTGCTATAATAGAATGTATTCTAAGTGGGTGCTCATAGCTATCTATACATATATTAAAGGTGTCCAAACTTTGGGACTTGTGTGATGAAGCTGTGGCTGTGTAACTGAAGGATGTGCTTTGAGAGTTCTCAGCATGGAAGAGACTGCTAACCTCTGGGTAAGGACTGATGCAGGAAAACTGCTAGTGCAGTTTTAGGAGCCGGATGAGTTTTTGATGCTTTGCTTTTTCCGCCATTTTAAAATGCTCTTCCTGACGGCAGAATTGGGCAGGGCTGTGTCTTGTAACATACCAGAAGAGACAATCCAGCAATCAGGTCCAGTTGAGGCAAATGTGCGGCCAGAATTGCAGAAATGTAAATAGGCACCATTTGAACTCTTCTCTCTACCAATACAGTCAACAACGTCTCTTTTCGTGTGTACAACCACCACCATGACTGCCTTAAAGGAGAGACTTAAAGTTCGTACACCATTATCCAGATTTGTAGGATTCATTGTGTTGTGAATAAAAAGACACACCAAGACTACAAAAAATAAATTCTTGAAGAGAGATTGGGGTCTGGTAAGACAGGGTGGTGGTTCCAGTTCATCTAAAAAGGGCCCAAAGGGTGTACTCAGATGACCTGGGTATCACACTATTCAGCCCTCCTGGGAAAGCCTGTGCCAGGGCACAGAATAAAAATGAAAAAAAAAAGACACCTTATCTTATAATTTCAAGATAAGATCTTGTAAACTCAACTTTCTATCACTGAAATGAATAGGCACCATCTTGGTATCCGTTATTTAGTTATTATTCTCAATCTATGAAAATTACTCAGATTTTTGGCACTGCTTCCTCATCATTGGGCCCGTAGAGCAGGTACACTAGAAACTTCTCCTGGCTTAGTAGCTAACTTCCGCTTTAGCACTCTGCTTATTGGAATGGGATGTAACATTACTTGTGCAGCTCTCCTAGACTTTGTAAATGTAATCGGACCAAATGGATCCACTTGTGATGGGGAAAAGAGTCATTTCACTGGGGTTATGATGCTCATAAAAAATGCATCCATTGATTTACAGGCATACCATTCAAAAGGTAAATATGGGAGAGAGTCTTTTGGGGCCCAATGGCATCAAGTGATGGAACCAGAAAATTCCACTGTTTGGTCACTACAAAAATTGCCTTCAAAACCCAGTACACTGTCTAGGGGGCCTGGCTTGGCCTCATGTGAAATTACAGTTTGACCTCTGATCCCTGGCTGTCATCTTTACTCTTTGGTATTGTTCATATGTGTAAGGCCACTTGCATATAATGGGGTAGTTATTCACTCTTGTTTATTGTTATCATTCATTCATTCATTCATCTTCTAACCGCTTCATCCTCTTGAGGGTCGCAGGGGGGCTGGAGCCTATCCCAGCTGACATCGGGTGAGAGGCAGGGTACACCCTGGACAGGTCGCCAGACTATTGCAGGGCTGACACATAGAGACAGACAACCATTCACGCTCACATTCACACCTACGGACAATTTAGAGTTATCAATTAACCTAATCCCCAATCTGCACGTCTTTGGACTGTGGGAGGAAGCCGGAGTGCCCGGAGAGAACCCACGCTGACACGGGGAGAACATGCAAACTCCGCACAGAAGGGCTCCCACACCCGGGATCGAACTGGCAACCTTCTTGCTGTGAGGCGACAGTGCTAACCACCACACCACCGTGCCACCCTATTGTTATCATATTATCACCATTATATTATTACCTTGTGTGAAGCTCCTAGACTGTATATAAATGGACATAGCACTGTGTCACATGACTGGCATGTTTCAGGGTAAGAATGCATTTAAGGTACCGTATAGCTAATTTTTGTCTTAATGTGCATAACTCTTTTAAACCCAGCCCAGAACCCATAACAACAATAGTTGAACAATATTAAAGGTTTAATAAAGATGGTTTTCTCATGATTCACCATGACTGTGTTCTGTGTTTTAACTTGTTAGTGAAAGTACATTTATATCAGGGCAACAATATCAACACATCAAAACACAGAGTAAAACAGAGAGTCCACAGCAGCTGCACTCCTCCATCCTGCAGTATATTCATTCACATGGTCAAAATTAAAGAATTGTGATAAAAAGGCCCAGCTGCAGCAGAGTATTCTTCAACCCTGGATGCTCCATTTAACAGCAGGAATAGGTCCTCCTGAGACTGCAGGGGAGATCAGCAGTGTTTTAGAGACTGCTCTGTGTGCTCTCCCATCAGCGTCCTGTCCTCCTTCAGTGTGGCCTCAGTGATCTCCTGCTTCACCCTCAGCAGCAGCTCTGGGCGCAGCAGCACATCCAGGGCCGTCATGGCCAGAGCCTTGGCAGTCCTCAGGGTGTAGAACTGAGCTTTGTCATCACCTGAAACAGAGTCACAAACACACTGTCAGCTGTACAAACACATATCAGCATTAGTCAACAACAAACTATTGCAAAAGGCAATATGGTGATATTTCAATATCTTTGAGGTCAAATGTCAAGTTGGAGGAATTAACCATTCAAAGTCTAAAGTGTTATGTGTTTGTGAGGCAGGGTAAGTAACATACCAGCAGACTGCTTGTCTATGTAGGTCTGAAGTTACAACATTGTAGGATCCGCAATATCTGCTAACAGCATCCATGCAACACCATAAATTAGGAAAATTAGTTATGATCAAATAACCAATATTCTAGTCTTGGAAATGAGATGGTTGCATTCAGGATCTTTCCATTATATTCAGGGACTGGGCCACCATCAGTGAAGTGGAGGCTATACGCAGGTATACAGGGTATGTCCATCTCATTTTTTGGCCATTTACAGTATAAACACCTACTGTATCAGGCAAAAAGTCATTGGAAAATACAGGAGAGTATACCCACTTTCTCCCTCATAACCTACCCACCTACCAAGTAGTACACCCACCCAGTGGCATAAGGTAGTTATGATGGGCCCCAGTGCACGCAATTATGACAGCCTTAGTGCACACTAGTTACTAGTTCTGAAACACATACAGGGTTTTAGGCATATATACATTTTACCAACAGTGTGTCTTACTGCTGCTTGATGTTATATCTGCTTGCAGATGTGCCCAGCTTGTCTGTCTTGGAGGTTTTGCATCGAAACTAGCTGCTATAAATTGCATCATCTCATTACATGATTAAAAAGAGACCTGATATTGGATAAGATCAACAAACATATTACATTAGTTAAACTATAGTTTTTTATAGTTTATGCTGAATAAGCATATCATTTTGTTATAGACTGATACTATTTTACAAAAACAGAAAACCATGATGGAGATGGGCCTTTTTGAGGGCATATGTAGAAAATCACACCATTTTTGATTTAACGTGAGTTCTTCCTTAAAGACCAGCCCCAGCACTACCGCACTGCCTGCTATCTATATTTACGCCCCTGCACTCACCTCATTATCTACCACTACACCACAGTGGGCCACCATACTAATGCCATATATAACGAAGAATTTACATAAAGCACAACATACCATATCACACTACCAGGCCTCCAGTAAAGAACACTGTGCATGCAGCATACACAACAAACAGAAAGCTGAAACATATTCATACAGGAAATGTGTACTGTAATAACACTTACTCTTGCACAGCCACACAGGGTAGGTACGGGGAATCCTCTTTTGATGGGCGAGCCATAAACACCACATCCAGGCCTTCAAATGCTCCCTCCCTTATCATGTCAATTTTACCTCCACCATCTTCCTCGGCTGGTGTTCCCAGCACCGTCACCTGTGGAGATACTGTGAGTCCAGCAAGAGACGTAGCTGCTGTACAGCAACCTTTTGTAGTACAGAAAGTTCACACCACTGCAGAATGTTCATAATTGCCGGATGTATATCTTGGGCCTGATTTACAACACACCATGTATGTTTTTCAGCAGCCAGCAGTCAATGTGTTGGAATAGTACCACATAACAATAGCATAACTGTCAAAATAAGGTAAACTCTTCACATCAGTGCTCTGACTCAAACAAGTTTCAAGTCACCATTTGTTTTTTATACTGTATAACAATGTATGGATATCAATGGCTGCCTATACAACAGGAAATCTGTCTTGGAACGTTTTTCTTTACATACTGAAGGTGTAATTGATACTGGGTAAATAGTGTAGGATTCATACAGTAGTTCCTTTTTTTAACATTGTCTCCCAATGTAGCAAAACAGTAGGCTTAAACATAAAGAGACAACAACCCAGGAGTTTTTATGGCCTGTTGGATGTTCTCAACTGTCAGTTACCTGAGGGCTCAATCCACTTCCTGAGAACCAGACGTAAAGCAAACCTCCCCAAAAACAAGTTAGATGAAAAGCTGGCAGAACCCCCGTCAGGGTACATACCAAGTGTCTGCTGATGTCTGCTGATCAGAGATTTCTGACAGTTACTGATTGCAAAGCAATGGTTTGTAGGAACAAAGGGATAGTTTAGATAGTTCAGATTCTTGAAAGTGGAGTTGTATGAAGGAGGCTTATCCATAGCCAGTCAGTATAACGCCAACAGTGGATAGTGGTCAGCTGTCAGCATGACCCCACTTTGGAGAAGCAGGCAGGAGTACTGCCACAGAGGCGAAGTAATGTACTGCTGTGGATGGGGGTAACCAAATGTATTCTAGCCACCTAAAAAACAACAACTATCAATTTAAAAGTACACTGTGCATATTTAAGTGTATATTTTTTACTGCTTTACTTTGCCGTCTGTGGGGTAACAAATTCTGTAGTTTTAGCGGTACCAAGGGTACGTTGGTACTACTACCAATTTATGCGAAACTGTGTGGCCAGCATCTCGGCCGACCAAGGAGCGAGCTGAAACTTTTGCTGCAGCGTTGATGGTTTCAGTCTATCTGGTCTGTTTTCTTTTCTATTTTAATTTGGAAATAGCTGAATATTACTGCTGTTTGTGATTGTGTTTTTTAAATAACGTTTTTATTCCACATTGGCTATTTGTCAGTTGTGTCTAAATAGAGTGAGAGAGGTGACACATGCACACACACATATACTTACACACAAGCAAGCAGAAAATTAAAATGTAGTGCCAAGGAAAGGGCTGTCTGACGACTAGGTAAACCTGTAAAAATATTCTCAACATCGCTTCCCCTAAAACTGATTGTTGTGTGTGTGTGTGTGTGTGTGTGTGTGTGTGTGTGTGTGTGTGTGTGTGTGGTTTGTTTTAGGTAGGGTACAGAGGTTCTACTTTAAAGAAAATGTACAGCCAAAGGAAAGGTAGGGGTGAAGGTAGGGGTGAAAATATTTTTAATATAGCTTCCACTTAAATTAATGTTTTTTTTTTTTTTGGTGGGGCTTTTTTAAGTGGCTAAGAAAATATCCTGCTGTCCCCAGCCACAGCAGTACATTGCTGAGCTTATGTTTTGGTATTTTCAGGTAGGCTATTAAACATTGTGCAAGATATTGTCAGTCAGAAACTTCAATACAACAGAATCTGTATCCACTACCGCGGTGCTGAAACGAAATCAATCGATGTCAGGCACATCGATCACCCACCACTTCATCAGCGCATGAGTCACACACAGCCTACTTATTTTTCCGTCTTATTATTATTTTTCTTCCACCAGATTTCGGTGCGTAACTTGTGCCACAGCTCTGAGCGCACACAGGGTCTTCATAAAACATAGATTCAAGATTCAATATGCACAGTAAGGACACACGTTTCTATGGGGTGCCGTTTGTAAAGTGTCTCACGCTGAAAATAACATCAACATTTTGCCACATTTAGCTTCAAACGATGTTTAAAAAAGTATTGTGAATTTTTTAACGTCACCTTTTACCACATTTACAGCAATATTTGTTAACTTAGAAATATATTAAATAGTTAAATCTAAATATTAAATGTGGCACCTAAATGTTAAGTGTTAAATCTAAATATTAAATATAAATATGAATATAAATATTTAATCTAAATCTAAATGTTAAATCTAAATGCTAAATATAAATATAAATTTAAATGTTAAATCTAAATCTAAATCTTAATCTAAATCTAAATGTTAAATGTTAAATCTTAATGTTCTGGGTGAAACTAAATATTTAGCTAATATGCAAATTCACACTGCCGGTCACCGGAAGTACCAAAATAAAAGCTCAAGATGGTCAGACTGTGTTTATAGAATCAAATAACGAATTAAAACCAACTTATCGGGGGAAATGAACACTTGAACATACATTAGCGTGATAATAACTACCTAAAATAACAAGAAACATGTTTGGAGAAATTTTATTTGACATGTACTTTGAGTTGTTAGTGTCTCTTCGGAGGGACTAACAACCTAAGCTAAGCTAACAACCGTTAGCTCTTAGCACCGTTAGCAGTGTCTGTAATGACTCATTAACTCTAAAACGGTCCGTGAAAAAAATATTTTTTTCCAGCGGATGTCTTAGTTACAACATGATTGAGCTAGCAAAGCAGTTTTGTGTTGCGATGTGTGGTATTTATTCAGTTTTGGGAAATCACGATGTCTAGAAAGCATCAGTGGCTGCAGCAGCAGCAAAGCTAACATCAGGACGTCATCTGTTAAAAGCCTCCCGTTGTCGGATACGACATGAAACTACTCCAGTTAGCTCAATCATGTTGTAACTAAGACATCCGCTGGAAAAAAATATTTTTTTTCACGGACCGTTTAGAGTTAATGAGTCATTACAGACACCGCTAACGGGGCTAACAGCTAACGGTTAGCCCCACTAATCTACGATAACCATGTTATTAATTTCAGAACGTGATAGTAATGTTTGTTCAATCATTGTGTTTATAGACTTTACAAACACCAGATTAGTCTAAATGGTGATATAGTGACGTGAAAAATGTGAGATATGCATATATATATATGTAGCTAAACTCCGCTGGCTTTCTACCTGGAAGTATTTGTAAACAACAAGGTGATTCCCTCTGAAGGGACACTAACAACTCAAAGTACACATCAAATAAAATTTCTCCAAACACGTTTCTTGTTATTTTAGGTAGTTATTATCACGCTAATGTATGTTCAAGTGTCCATTTCCCCCGATAAGTTGGTTTTAATTCGTTATTTGATTCTATAAACACAGTCTGACCATCTCAAGCTTTTATTTTGGTACTTCCGGTGACCGGCAGTGTGAATTTGCATATTAGCTAAATAGTTAGTTTCACCCAGAACATTTAGATTTAACATTTAACATTTAGATTTATATTTAGCATTTAGATTTAACATTTATATTTAATATTTAGATTTAACATTTATATTTATATTTAGCATTTAGATTTAACATTTACCCCATACGTTTCCCTGCAGAATGAAATTCGTTCTTTTCTGTCACCAATTAATGCCAAACAATATAAATCTGAAGTATAAAACAGATCAAAAATATATACGGCACGCACTGTTTTAATATCTCCTTGATCAGTGTAATATTAATGTGCCTGCCGCGGCTGGATCTGTGAGCGTTTGGTGGCTAAGAAGAGTGTTAAGAGTGGGTCAGCTCGATCTTACAACTCCTTCTTAATGAAAGATCTTCTTAAGCTAAGAGCGATCTGGGAAACGCGGCCATTATCATGTCAACATACAGGGAAAATGTGTCCAGAATTTATGACATTTACCGGGAGAGCTAGAGCCATTTGACTAAAGCTGACGTTATTACTGCTGTAGCATGATGTTATTAGGCTAAATGCTACATTTCTAACAGTGTCCGAGCTGATTTATTGACACAGTATGCTTGTAGGCTGCTGTAACATTAGGTTTACAGAGGAAATAACGGGAAATAATGGGATGTGACTTAATCAGGTGAAAATATCGTTAGTGAAACAGAAACAAGTGTTAGTTAGGGGACAAGAGCCAAGAGTCACAAAGACTCACGTATGTTAAAAGTTACTTACAGCCCGTGTATTTACTGTACGTGTCCGGGGTCCTTGGCCTGTGGAACGATTAATGTGACCACTAACTTGTCCCCAAACGAGTGCATGTTTCTGTTAGGCCTATGTGTTTCACTAACGTTCTTTATGTATTATGAAGAATGTCAGACTGGCCAATCAGTGGCAGAGCTGGGCCCGAAGTCACAAATAGCTCATTTCGACTGACACAAAACCGGCACGGTGCCAGTTCCCGAACCTAATTAAGTAGGCTACTTACAACGGCATGAAAGGCAATCTGGCATTCTGTTTGTTGTTGGTTATTTCCTTAAAAAACTACGACTTTATTCTCGTAATATTATGACTTCAATCTCATTAAATAACGACTTTAATCTCATAATTTGACTTTATTATCGTAATGTTATGACTTTTTCTCAGTTATGACTTTATTCTCGAAATCTCCAAATTTTTTTTTTCTTCAATGTTGCCCTAATACTCCATCGTACCCTAATACTCCGTCCTAATGTGGCACCTTTCCTGATCTCATAATTACGAGATCGTAATTATGAGATCCTGATCTCTTAATTACAAGATAAGGTGTCTAATTTTTTTTTTTTTATCCAGTGAATGCAATGCGTTTCCCTACGCTGGGTGGGTGGAGTTGAAGTTTGCAGCCAGACTTCAGTGAGGGGAGAGGAGAGGGGTAGACTCCGCCTAACTGGTGTACAATCCATATTCTCGCTTTGATTGGGCAGCTCTAGTCTCGCAGTCAGCCGACTACGGCAGGGTTGCCAACTTTCATGCATCTGGCATGACTGTCACTCTCTCACGCTC